AATAAAAATAAAAAATATTTTTTTAAAAAAACTAACTTTATTTTTTATTTCGGGAAAATTCAACGGGTGAGAAAAGAGGTGAGAAAACAGGTGAGATCTCACCTCTTCACCTAAAATATATTTTTTGGTCCGGGAACAACAAAATTCAAGAGTTTTGTGTGTTTTCTACGATGGTAGAAAAGAGGTGAGAAAAGAGGTGAGAAAACAGGTGAGATCTCACCTCTTCACCTAAAATATATTTTTATTGAATTCAGAACAAAACTCAAGAATTTTGGTTGAAAGAATACGATGGAGCCAAAAGTGGCTCGACCTCAAAACAAGCATTTTGTGAAGAATATAGCAACCGCCGGAATTTCGACGGTTGCTTTTTTATACAAAATTCAACGGGTGAGAAAACAGGTGAAAAAAGAGGTGAGATCTCACCACATCACCTAAAATATATTTTTGTCTGATTTACGCTCATTACGATGAAATCATGACAAAACATATACGAAGAAGTTTATTTCCTGTGTTGTTGTCAAAATGTCATGTTGTCTCATTTTTTCAGAGAAGTTCGTTTAACCGAGGGACCTGGTGACACCTAAAAACCATCTACCCTAAAATATATTTTTGCCGAATTCAGCAACAAAATTCAACGGGTGAGAAAAGAGGTGAGAAAAGAGGTGAGATCTCACCTCTTCACCTAAAATATATTTTTGGTTCATTTACACTCGTTACGATGAAGAAGTCTTGACATTTTCCCGACTGTTGTCAAAATGTCATGTTGTCACCATTTTCAAAAAGATGTTAGTTGACCGAGGGACCGAGGGACCGAGGGACCCCTTCAGTAAACATCTCATTTTAACTCACTTTTTTTCTATCTTAAGGAAATTCATGAAAATTCAAGAGGGTGAGAAAAGAGGTGAGAAAAGAGGTGAGATCTCACCTCTTCACCTAAAATATATTTTTGGTTCATTTACACTCGTTACGATGAAGAAGTCTGACATTTTCCCGACTGTTGTCAAAATGTCATGTTGTCACCATTTTCAAAAAGATGTTAGTTGACCGAGGGACCGAGGGACCGAGGGACCCCCTCAGTAAACATCTCATTTTAACTCACTTTTTTTCTATCTTAAGGAAATTCATGAAAATTCAACGGGTGAAAACAGGTGAAAAAAGAGGTGAGATCGCACCACTTCACCTAAAATATATTTTCAATACTTTTTCAGCACTTTTCCGTAGTTGTATATGAAAGACAATTCGAGATAAAAAGTCATAGTACAATGGTATAATATGCTGCACACCATTTGTTGTGAACCAAACTTGAAAGTCAGAGAAACTGTTACTAGGTGGTTCGTAGAATTTAGAAGCAAAGTCATAAAAGTCCTTACCGATACATAGAAAACTATTGTTGCTTGAACTGAAACTTGCATGACACATAACATTTTGAGGGTCAAACACGTTTCTATAAACTGTCAAATCTGCTGGTGGAAGTATAAATTTAAATGGACCATCTGGTGGTAATGGTTCGTTCTGGTTTAGTAACCGAAGAAATTGTGCCCAAGAACGTTTGTCTACTTGCCAAAATAAAAACTCTGTATCTCTTGGAGGGTTAATTTCAATCTTTTGAAATGAAACGGTTGAGTTCATCTTGTCATATTCTAGTTTCAGATAGTATGTTCCATTTAGTAAAGAGTCGTATTTTTCTTGAAATTCCCAATAATATTTGTTTATTTGAGTTTGAAAGTCATTTAGAGTTTTCTCAAGACTTTCGTCTGAACGAACTGTAAAGATCCTCATTTCGTCAAATTTGTCTATTAGACCATCAGAACCTTTATACTGCCCATGAAAATATACTGCGAACATAAATGCGTTAGTTCTATTTGAAAACAAAACTCTTCTAAATCCTATTGCCTTTGCATCTGAAGGACTTTGAAGCCAACGAACTGGATAGTCAAACCTGTAAGCTCGGGATGAAATTTTCTTCATCTGAAATAGTCATACCAGCATTTGTAAAGATATAGTCTAACGGTTTTGTATCTGCTACTTTTGTTCTTTGTTTTCAACCTGAAGCATTTAATATATGTAAAAATATATTGTTTTAAAAACGTTTTTACTTCATATTTCTCATCTAACAAACATGTTGTCTGACTGCTTGAGGGTTAGGTTGGTACCATTCGAACTTGACACTTGCAATTCCTTCAATTGCATTCAAAATGTCTGAGTCGGAGTCAACCATTTGTTCTCTCTTTGTAGTCTTGAAAGCGTCAAGAAGTTGTGCGGCTGTTGTGACATTGCCATGTGCATAGTAAATGTGACTATCCAAATCTGTTATAGTCAATCTGAGATTGTGTCCTTTCTTATTTCCATCTTGAATTGCAGCAAGTACTCCCATGAAGCCTTCTTTGTTCTTTCCTTCGTCAAAGTTTACTGTAAAGGTTCTACCAGATGTAATTTGACTTCTAACTTCACGGTACTTCTCATATGCATATCTTGTTCTTTCCATGGGAGCATGTGTGTCTTCACCTTTTCCTTTTTTCCTTCTCAAAGGATGCAATTGTTCGTCATGTTTCCAGTAGAATCTGCAAAGCGTCGTGTCCCTCAACTTGAGGTTCACTAACATCGAAAGGCATGTCCATAAGACGTTCTTCTTCTAACCTCTCTAGTCTGTTTGGATAATTTGCACGTGCTGTTTCCAAATCCATTTCGTAGCGAAGACCAGACAATTTGTCATAGACTTTTATGGGTCTTCCCTTCCTATATTTAAAATTCTTCGAAACTCTCCAACCATAACTTTGCAACTCTGCTTTTATTCTAGCAGATTTTCTATCCATTCTATATGGGGGCATTTTTATAAAAATAAAAAAATATTTTTTTTCTCTTTACTTTACATAACCGCCTGCTGCCATAAGTCTTTGACGCCAACCCATACCAGCTAATGAAGGTTGACTTGGTTTAGTTTGGAAACTAAACTTTGGTTTTGGTTTATCTTCAGTTTTTGGTTTCTCTTCTTCTATCGGTTTTTCGTCACTTTTCGGTTCCGCTGACTTTACCTCACTTGCAGGAACAGTTGTGTCGTCAACATCTTCATAAATATCATATGCCATTTGTTTTTGTTTTCCTTTCAACTTTTTGTGTTTGTTGTAAAGTTTAGAATATTTTGACTCTAAGTCAATGAGATGTTCTATAATGAACTGTTGGTCAGTGAAGTAAACTTTTCCATCTGTTGTCTCGAAAGCTCCTTCAGACTTCAATATTTTATTTGTGAGAGTCTGTTTCTTTTTTGAGATACTAGCCGTTCCATTTTTATGAAAAGTGACTTTGTAGTTAGGGTTTGTATTTCCAGACCTGGCACTTTCTATTATTGAATTTTTCTCTTCATCTGTAAGTTCTTTGACAGGTTTTGACAATGGTTCTGAACTTTTTGTTTGTGGTGTCAAATCTACCGTTTCAACTTCTTCGGTCATTTCATCTCAGTAAAAATTTTAGTTTGGTTTGTTTTCAACTGGTTGTTGTTGTTTTTTAAGTCGGTCTAAAACTTCCTGAGGTATAGGAAGAACTTGACAAACACGTTGTGTAACTGCTGGAAGTCGACAAATCCATCTTGAACCCATTTGTCTCAATGCTGTATTGTTCATTTCATCTCAGTAAAAAACTTTACATTCCCCACGTTTGAGGCGGTTGAGGTTGGTTATTGTTTACCCACTGTTGTGCATGGTTATATCCTCTGTTAAAGAATCTTTCACCTTGGTCCATATAGTGTCCTGCTTGGTTATAGTAGTCATTTGCTTTGTTATAATAGTTTCCTGCTTGTCTTCCTACATTGTCCATCCATCCTTGAACTTTTCCTCTTGTTTCAGGATTTGGAATAAGATTTGTTGCATCTCGTGCTACATCCCAACCTTTCTGTACAGTTTGTATAATAGGTTGTGCTTTCTCTTTCAGTATACCTAATGTACTCAAAATCTTCCTTCCAACTCCAAATACACCTCTGGCTATTGTTCCCACTGCGGGTAAAAATCTGGATGCAACTCCTGCTAACGCGCCAAATAAACCCATTTCTTATGGGTTAAAAAATGACGAATCCAAACAAGGACCCTATGTTTCTAAAGCGACAAAGAAAGCACTCATGGTAAAAATCTTTAGTTCAACACCAAATGCTTGGTTTATGGATATCTTGGAAAACATTCCGAGAGTTAGAACAGATGGACCACCATACTGGCTAATATTTGTCGGTCAAAACACAAGATACTGTGAAGCCATACCATTACAGTCCAAAAATATTTTAGATATCTTAGCAGCTTTGACAATATTCGTTGACAAATACCATCCAACAAAACTAACATCTGACTGTGAAAGTTCTTTCAAATCAGACGATGTAAAAAACTATCTGCGTTCAAAAAATGTAAACCAATATTTCATTGTCGACCAAAACATTCTGCTCTTGGTGTCATTGACGGATGTATAAAAAAATGTTAAGAGACTTAACCAACACAAGGTGTGAAGAGCAAAAAATGTCATATGACGACAAATATAGACTTCTCCATGCAAAGATGAGACAAGTTTTAAATATTTACAATAGCCGTAAACAAAAGGTTTGGGAAACCACTCCCCGAAGAAATGAAAACAACCCCGACTTAGAGAAAGACTATATATTTAATAATTTAGTCAAAGAGACAAACAAGAAAGAATGCCGGGCTTCAAACTTCAGAAAGGTGACAAAGTAAAAATAGAAATACCTAAACGCGACCCATATGAAAATACTATTGACTATGACAACAATGGGAACTCGACAGGTACTCACGTTCGTGTTCGTAAAAATGAAGAAAGTATACAAGAGAATATTATGAAGTTTTAGGCAAACATGGCAAAATGTACACACTGCAAGCAGAAGATAAAACTACTATTGTCAGACCTCGTTTCAAACTTGTCAAAGTTCAAGGTGGTATACTTTCAAAGACAGTTCCTAACAAATATAAGACAACTCCTGACGAATATGCTAAAGAAGTTGAAAATGACGACTAAGCATTTCTATACCATGCGTAAACTGTCATGTAAGGTGGCATGTATTCTTTACTTTGTCCCGTTGTTTGCGTATACCCTGAAACGCGATGTGTATGGTTTCCATCTCCCTGAGTGTTACCCCAGAAACAATTTATAGCAAACTGAACTTCGTCTTTAACATCATATCCTTTACCTTTTTTCATTGCTGACCAATCCCAAAATCTATGCTTATGCCAACCTGCTTGAGATGTACTTAAATCTATGTAGTGACTGTGTGCAGGTAAATTTTCACCTGAAATCGTTTTACTTCCACCTGTTTCCTTTGAAGAGTTTGCACAATACAAAAACCTGTCGACTATTTGAGTCCAAGTTCCAAAACCAAGTACTACTTCTGGTCTGGTAGAGTTCATTGACGTATAAATAGAGCCTATAGGATATAATGTTTGAAGTATTTCCGTCTTTAATGTTTGAAGCTCTGTTTTGTCTGCTTTCTTCTCATATAAATCTTGAGCAGTGAATTTAACGTTATTTTCATCCTTCATGACATAAACATCTTTACATCTAATGTTTCTCATCGTCGTTATGTCGTCATCCGATGTTAAACCTTGTGGAAAGTTAGGAGGTTTACAATATAATACATCCCCACCAGTTTCTTCAACCGTTCCTTCAATACTTTCTATAGTAACAGTTGTAAAACTTGTATGTGTATGGTTCTTGTCTGCTTTCTTTTCAAGGCTAACGTTTAAGTCTGTTATTTCAGAAGATGTATGTGTATGTCCAACGTCACTTTTACTGTTTAAGGTTTCTTGTAAGTTTGTAATATCAGATATAGAATGTGTATGCTGTTTTTGTGGATATGTTCCTTCTGTCCATTTGAAAATATATTCTTTTGTTGCATCTACATATCCAGCTATCCATGTCGAGTCTGCTTTTGTATTCCTTAACTCTGTAACACCTTTCTCAAGCTCTTTCAACTGTTGTCCATCTTCCATTAAAGCTCTGTCATGACTTGAAACCGTTTGTGCCAACATATCTACAGTTTCTTTGTCAGCTTTATTTTCAACGTCATCTTTTGTTGCATATGTTGCATCTGCTCTGTCATGTTCTTCTTGAACTTTTTCAATGACATATGTTTTGTCAGCTTTGTTGTCAACATCTGCTTTCAAAAGAAGTTCATTTATAGGTTTCTCGTTTAAAGTTCCTTTTGTTGGATTTATACAAACAGTATGGTTCTTATTGTCTTGAAACAGAAACTCATCTGTCATTGGGTTTAAAGTCAGTTTTAAGTTTCCTTCTTTCAATGACTCAGATATCTTAGAATAGTTTGAAAAGTTTGTTGTGTTCTTATTTAGAGCTTGTATAATGAGTTGTCGGTTGTGTTGTATTTCTCTCATAGACGCTGTTTCATTTGACATTTTTATTCTAGATAAAATATGCTTTCAATAGAAAAAGAAAATTCAAGAGTTGCTACAACTAAACCATTAGATGAACTTTTTACGAATGTCGGTCAAAAGTTTGAGACAGAGACCGTAAAGCATGAAGGCTATCGTTTTGACTACCCGTTAAGATGGTTAAGAGACCCATCTGTCACAAAAGCTATTGGCTTTCGTAGAATGAAGTTCATTTCAGAAGCCATACATGGTTTCCCATTTACAGTCGGTTTTGAAGTTCGATACTATAACAAAGAAAAACGTACGTATGAGAAATTTGAACAGGGAAAACTTTTACAAGTGAATTTGCTTGTAAACTTAGAAACAACTCTTCAAGCTTTTCAAGAAAAAATAAACGACATCTATATCGAATATGCAAACCAGTATAACATTGACGAGGGAGAGTACCATCTCGATATTATATATGACAGGAAAAATGCAACTGTTAAAATCAATAGAATAGAAGACCTTGGAGAAAACGTTTATATTTCTACAAAATATAACAACTTGGCATGGTATAGATTTATGAGGATGTTAAATCAGCCTGCAGCATATCCAGTACACCCGGACTTTTATGAAGTCGAAAACCCTAATGGAACATATGAAAATGTTTTCGACCCAGATGCTATTATCGTTCATGCTTCATTTTCTGGCGCCCAAAACTCTTTTTTATGCTTGGCAAATGACTTTTACGAAAAACCTACAAAGCTATATGAACCACCAAGTGGAAGTATTTCAGACTTTCAAGTATGGTTTACAACAGATGGAAGAAAGAGAATAATTCCATTATACCATGCGTTTTACTTAGAACTTAGTTTCATATACAACTACTATCGAACGTAAAAATATAATTTTTTAATACGGTTGAGGTGTTGGATTTGGTTGCCAACTAGACTGTGGTGCAGGTTCAGGCTGTTGTATAACAGGAGCTTGCTCTTCTGGTTCAGGGTCTTTAGGTATAATACCAACGAACTGACCTACTCTTTTACCAATATTTTTGACTCCGTTCCAAATTCCTCTTCCTACGGTTTTGACGCCATTCCATATACCTCTTCCAACATTTCGAAAGAAGTTTCCAATACTACTGAAGAAACCCATTTTACTATATGTAAAAATCTAATGTCCGCCTAGTCTCTTACGTTTCCTTCTGAGTTCCATAGCATTTTTTAACTGGAGCTCATACATTCTATTTCTCCTCTGGTAGAAAACATATTCTGGGTCAACTCCTGTGTTCGCGTCATCTGCATAGAGTTGTTTATATCCCACTTCAGGGTTTGTATAAAACTCTTTCCATCTCATATTTGCATACCATGGTGGCAAACCTAACGCAGCGTCATTTGACATGGCAGTTTGCATTTGTACATCTGTTGGCACTTGACCATAGTTTGCCATTGCAGTTTGTATTCTAACTTCATTTGGAATATTCTCTGGGTTTGGTTGTCCAGGTTGATGTGCATTCGCTAAGTTCTGTGCGTCCATTTAATATTAGATAAAAATATCTCTTACGAGTACATATGCTGAACATTTGCAGGCATTGGTTCATCTTCATATTCTCTGTACTTTTCTGCCACGTCAAATAAATAAATGACACAATGGAAAAAACCTAAAACAAGTAGTCCTATTTCAAACCACATTTACTTACTAATAAAATTTCTTTGTTATGACACTTTCTCCGGTTTATAGGACCTCTCTCATATTCTATCTTGTCATATCTAAACTCATAGTCATGTATGTCCTCTAACCATCTCATAACGGTTTCCAAACCACTTTTATCGGATGTAAAGTAAAAGCATGGATGGTTATGTAAAACGTCTAAAGTTTCTAAAGAGTCTCTCAAAGTCCAGTCTACTTGGTATTGAAAATCCCATGTGTTATAGAACGGCGGGTCCACTATAAAGAAAACATTTTCCTTGTCTTTATATTTTTCATACAACTCTGTCCAACGACATCTCACAAACTCTATACCCTCAATATATTTTTCTATGTCCTCTTTGAAAACATTTGTATAGTTAAGATATAAAACTTTTGACATAAGTGTTTCAATGTCATGAACTCTTATAGCACCACTATATAATAGTCTAGCAGATATACTATCCCAGTCTATATATTCTGCTTTTTTCAAAACCTCTCTCACAATATTTTTCTTATCTAATGGTATACGTTCCATCTTACCTATAGGTATCTTTTCTTTTAACTCTTTCAATATATTGTTTGTGTCTGGTATATGTTTGAGACGGTCCATATAGTTGTCGAAGTCATTGCATATAATCTTTGAGTCTGGGAATATTGTATGGCACAAATGGGATATATAGAAACTTCCACCGAACAAATCTACAAATGTTAGACCATTCGGTAGTTTCTTAAGTTCTCTCAATAGAATATCTTTACATCTACTCTTATTTCCAAAGAACGGTAACGGTGGTTTTGTAAAATTCATTTATATATAATAATAAAAATGTTTTTTCCTGAAAAGTGACAGAAAAGTGACAGAAAAGTGACAAAACATATATAATTTGTGAAAAGCGAAACAAAAAAGTCAACGGCTGGTCGGCTGGGGTTCGGTCCTCCTCTTGGGTCTTGGGATGGGCCTCCAGGCACGAAGTGCCTGGAGGCCCATCCCAAGAAAAAAAAAACTTCAGGGCTAGAGGGCGCAACGCGCCTGGAGGCCCCACTACCTTTTTTTTTTTTTTTTTTTTTTGATATTCTAATAAATAAGATATTTAGAATTAATATATATATATATAACTAGCTAATTCTATCATTCTATCCAATCTGATATATTTCTGACGGCCAGACCCTTTCAAAAATGGTCCTTGACTTAAACTTTTTCAGTGGAAAATTTTACATAGGGAAATAAATGGATAGAGGAGTGCAACAAAAGAAATTTTTCAATGAAAAGAAATTTGATGATGTATGTAAAAATACAGAGGCTAGAGCTGAATTAATAAGTTTCATTCAAGTTAATAAAATTTATGAACAATATTTCTATCCTCTACAAATTCTTGAGGCTGGTCTAAGTGCCGTAGCTCTTAAACGTTTGTATCAAGAATTCAGCGAATTACCTGAATTCAATCCGAAATTGAAGAAAGTTGAAGATATATTGAAGTGGATTTTTGATAATGGATATCAGTGCTATCAGGAAGCAGTCAGAAAACAAATAGACTTACAAATATTTAAAGAACAATTCCAGACAAGACAAAGGGGAGATTCCCAATCTAATTGATACCCCAAAACTAATAACCATTTAAGAATATGTTAGGGATTCCAATGCATTTATAAAATCCAAGCGAATTCAACTACAATTTTCTTTTAATTTTATTTTTCAAAACTATTTCGAAAATAAAATGAAGATTACGTCTAATCATACAAATTTAGACCTTAGAAAATGAATTTATTAAATTTTGTTTAGTAAAAAGTAAACGCGTAATTATTTTTCTTTATCTTCGTTTTTTTTTGGCATGATGCATATAATTCTTCTGTTTTGGAATCCAATATATAGTCATATATTCTTAAAATACCTTTTTTTTATTTAATTAATGATTAATTAAAGAGGAAATACGTCTTTGACTATTATATTCATTATGATAATGTTATTTAAAATGAATATGAAGGCCATTTATTAGCATACTTCAGAAAAACTGTTTATTGCAATAATTTATTTGTTTATTTGCTTTAATAACTATCTTTTTTTTATTATTTAATTTTGATATTTTCTGCATTTATTTTTTCATTGATATTTGCACCATGTGAAATAAGGAGTTCGGCTGTTTCTTTACTATTATTTTCTGCTGCAAAGCAAAGAGCAGTTCTCCCATTTCCATCCTTTTCATTGATATTTGCACCATGTGAAATAAGAAGTTCAGCGGTTTCTTTACTATTTCTAATTGCTGCAAGGCAAAGAGCAGTTTTTCCATATTGATCTTTTTCATCGATATTTGAACCATTTGAAATAAGAAATTCGGCTGTTTCTTTATTATTATTTTCTACTGCAATATGAAGAGCAGTTCTCCCACCTCCATCCTTTTCATTGATATTTGCACCATGTGAAATAAGAACTTCGGCTGTTTCTTTACTATTTGTACATGCTGCAAAGAAAAGAGCAGTTCTTCTTAATTTATCTTTTTCATTGATATTTGCACCATGTGAAAGGAAATATTCACAAAGGGATGGAATACTAAACAACAATGAATAAAGAAAGCATTTGTTAATATTATTAGTTTGATCGAAATAAACTAAAAATGCTTCAAGATTTTTATGAAATCCGCATTCATTTAAATCAATCTCTATATTGTATTCATTCATCAAGAATGTAACAAAATCAATGTTATGTGAAATAATTGCATGGATCATACATTTTTCATTTGGTTTTTGATATTTCAAACATTCGTTCATGATCTCTTGATTTCCTCCTAAAAATGAAAATCTAAGACATGTTTCAGTTATTTCTGAATTAAATTTTGTTCTTAATAACTTGAAACAATCAACTGCTCCATGGTAACAACATAATTCAAGCAATGAAAATCCTTCGAAACTTAATGGATATAATTTACTTAGAATTCTTTTATTTTTATAAAATCCTTTCTGTTCAGTGAATGAGATGAATTTTTGTAGATCGTTATCCATAATTGCTCTGTAAATCGTATTTTCTGAATGAATATCTAGTTTTTCAAATTTCAATTTTTCGAAATCCGAAGAATTGTCTAATTTGATTCCATATTCTTTATAAAACAGGTATTTTGAAATAACATCAACATCGATGACCACTTTGACATGATAATAATCAATTACGCGTTTAGCAAGAATTAAATATGACTTTGCATAGCGATTATTATACGGAATGATATCTAAAATATCTTTTACCATATTTGTAGGGAGATATTTCTTGGAATCAATCAATTCTGCTTTAATTAGATTGTAAATTGAGTTTAAATCATCTTCTTTTTCCGTTTTTAACTGATACAAAGCAGTATACAAATCTATGTAGTGTTTGTAGTTATTTCGCAGTTCACTGTATTTATTTGGACAAATGGAGTGAGAAGACATTAATTTGCCACCACCAAAATATGAATTATAGAGGATAAACAAATAATTAAGCTACAAAACGAATTAAGTATAAGGGAGAATATCATATGCATTGGGAAAGTTTTTTTCTTTGAATCAATTCTCATTTTGTAAAAGTCGTCACTCTTTTTTAATGTTATTAAAAGTAGTATTTTAGTATTATTTTTGATTAAGTTCATAGACATGGAATGACACAATAACAATAGTAAAGTTGTAAGCAATAAGATATTCACACAGAAACTTAGACTATTTTTAAACAAACATATTATGTTCCTTTTTATTCGAATGAGTTGAATCAGGTTTTGCATTCTTTTTTGTGAAGTTATAAACTTATTATGATTCTTTAGTTCAAATTAAATAAATATATGTTTGAAGTAATTTTCAAAAAGTTTTATTATTCAAAAGTACCAATATTCTAGAATTCACTTTCCAAACAACCTAAATAACATCGGAAAAGTAAATTCACATATATATGAAATATTATTGATTACAAGAGAAGTTCTTTTCGGAGAGCTCCTTATATATATTTATATGATGTCTCAAATGAAGCTCTTCGAAAAGAACTCCTCCTATAATCAATATTGCTTTTCATAAAGACATCATTTAACGTTATTTCTAGGAGCACTTACATAAAGAACTAAGTAACACGACAGTCTTTGAAATTTGATATATATATATCATTGCACGAAAAAAGTTCGAGTTATTCGTGGTTAGTTTCTTGATTTGTTAAATGAACTACTCGTAATTTACTCATGAGATGTATTTATAAATTCTAAATAGCATATTATGTATGGAAAAATTCAAACAATTTTTATTCGCCCGATTATTTTATGATTTCATATGCAAGTCAATTGTTTACTGTACAAAATCATTTTGGAGAATATCGATTTGAATTCTTCAACAATAGCAACTTCGAGCATTTTCAATATCAATGAAGAAGTCATGCAATTCAAAATATGCCCTAAGATTCGAACAGATAAATCACTAATTGTGATTATTATCGGTAATCATAATCGGACAAAAATTTTAAATTTAAATTCTAAATCTTTTGGCATTTGAGCTCAAAAGTACAGACATCCATCTATAAAATATTATATTGGTTCTATGAAATCAATACGTTGCCGTTTGAAATTTGTGTTGGAATATTTAGATTTGATGTTTTAAAGATGAAAATTCCCATGTTTATAATCCATATACATAATACATGAGTTCTCACCAGAACTGTAATTTGCAAACACTAGTCAACGACAAGATACATTTGATTTTACTAAAATTAGCTTCAGCCATAGTTAAAATAAGGGTTTCGTTTTGCTAAAATTGTCACTTTTATAGCATATTTGTTTTTGGATGTTTTGCGAAACCAAAAAAAAAACTATGATATACAATGTGTGTGTAAAGAAAATACTTTATTTACTAGTTAAAAAATCATTTGGTATTGATGAAGTTATTTTTTCTGGATAAGATATTATATGGATAATTGGATAGAAAATACAATTATATAATCTTGTACCTGGTTTAATTATGTTGCATGCTAAGTTCGGTCAACGATAGAAATTGAGTGGAAATTAATCGTCGAGGAAGTACGATTATGTAAAGTAAAAAAATGTTGTGGGATTTTTAATATTATATATTATTTTATAATAAATTTTTTTGAGTCATTTTAAGAAGCACATATAATTTTTTGAATTTAAAAATTAAAGTAGTGTCAAACGAATTTATCACTTAATTTAATACTCGGATTTCTTAAAATTAATGAAAAAAAGGTTTTCTGAGAACTTTTGAGAATGGTTTTCAAATTCCATTATTGAAAATATATAGGTATTGTATGAAATTAAAACTCTATATTTATTAAAATTCTAAATTTTTAATAAAATAACTTTTCAGAGGAATATGATTTTGAATGGTTGATTAATAAGTATAAAAATGTCTAGGATTTTAATGAGGGAATTGTTCCTTATGATGTATACATCATAACTATATACCTCATAATGAACAATTCCCTCTTGATAGCTGGGAAACTTTCTCTGAATAACTTATCATTTGGAGAAAGTTTCCCAGCTATCTATTAGAAACTAAAGGCTATGAGGCACTAATATATAATCAGTGCCTCATAGCCTTTAGTTTCTTATTAAAAACGAGAAAACTTGTTCGAAATGATAAACAATTTCGAACAAGTTTTCTCATTTTAAGGAGGAAATTGTTCCTTATGAGGTATACATCATAACTATATACCTCATAAGGAACAATTCCCTCTTGATATCCTGGATATTTTTGAATATATTTTTTTAATTAAAGTTCTCAAAAGTATTATCAAAAGTGATTTTTAAAAAATATCTCCAATTAATTAACTAATTAAAAGTATTATATTTTTAAAATTAAATAGTTTTTCAATTTTTTTGAAGGAATTGAGATACTTCCCACGACAATAAAATTGAGAGGTTTACATTATGACTGATCTTAGCATGCAACAATTAAGCTAATTGTCATCAGAAACTTGTAATTTTTATGAATTTCAGATTTTCTTTTCATTACTGCTTTTCTTAATAGGTCAAGTTCTTATTTACGTTATAAAGTATGATATTTACAAATATCAAGTTATCATGTTTTTTGAGAAATTACGAGAAACAAACAAAAATGAAAAAGATAGGAATAGCAATGAATAGTGGTGTGGGTATAGAAAATGTAAGAGATATGAATGCAAAGCAATCAGTATTTAGGATATTGACCATAGATTTCGAAAAAAAAATGCTGCATATTGAGCGAAAACTATGATTATATTATAAGGCTGTCATTTAAAGCATAATGAAACTATTCCCTTTTCATTTTAATCGAATAAGATAGTAAAGATTTTTGAATTAGCTAGAAACTGATGAGATGTTTCACAAATCAGATTTTTAATCTCTATAATGCATAATTCACTCAATATCTCAATTTTGATATTGCGAGATATTTTTGCTATCGGTTTCGCAATTTTGACACAATAGCAAGAGGGTTCTATAAGCATTATTATCAACGTAGAATCTGAATATCATATCAGAAAATGTCGCAAATCTGACATCTACCCGACCAAATAGCAAAAATAATTGAATACTTTTCGCAAAAACTTTAAAAATCGATAAAAATATGAAATATAGATATTAAAGAGACTTTTTATATAATATTCATAAAGATTTTCCAAAAATATGATACCGCAAAATTAAAAAAGTGACGTCTTGAGTGGAGTCAAAGGTCGAAATTGCTAGCTAAATGTTTTTTTAGCGAAATTGCGTATTGTACGTTTTTTTCGCAAAACGAAACCCTTTGTTAAAATTACTTAACAGCCCATAAATATCGTAAATTTACTATTATCATTCGCGAATGTCAATTTTCATCGTTTCTATGAAATCATACAAATGAAACAGACGGTTTTTCATAAAACCATTTTTTTCAAAAATCAATGGCATCTGAACCAAAAGAACTTAAAATCGTTCTTGTTGGACATACAAATGTCGGCAAGACATGCATTGTTCGCCAGGCTACAACAGGCGTTTTCAGTGAAGACAGCGCTCCAACACTTGGCGCTTCTTATGTTTCGAAATTAGCTAATGTTAATGGAACAGAGGTTCGTCTCCAAATTTGGGATACAGCTGGCCAAGAGCGTTACAGAGGTATGACTCCAATGTACTATCGTGGTGCACAGACAGCCTTAATTGTTTATTCTGTTACAGACGCCGAATCATTCGAGTCAGTTGATGGATGGCTTAACTCTCTTCGCGAGAACGCTGAACCCGATATCACATTATTCCTTCTTGCTAATAAGTGCGATTGCGAGGGTGATCGTGTAGTTTCTGCTGAACAGGGCCAAGAAAAGGCTAAGTCAATGGGCGCCCACTTCTACGAAGTTTCTGCTAAGACAGGACAATGCATCGAAGACGTTTTCACAGATATTCCAAAGTACTTCCTTGAAAATCAATCACCAGATACACTTGATAAGGGCAATCACGGCGGTGTTTCTCTCGATCGCCCAACACAAGAAAAGAAGAAGGGCTGCTGCTAAATATTTTTTTTTAGTTCACAAGTAAAATTAAATTCATATTGATAAAATGGTTCTAAAAGCATTCGGCTTATATACTAATGTTGTAAACAGAAATTCATCAAAAGTGACACCTCAGAAAAGCTAAAATATTGAATTTTTGGAACTTTTGATAGAGCACGTTTTTAAATATTAATTAAAGTAAATGTATATTTTGTAAAGATTCTTTTTAATAAAAAAATAAAATTTTGAAGAAGAACACAAAATCTTCTGAAAAATAATATCACATAAACTCATATTATTTTCTAATATAAAACTATTTTATATAAAAATCAAATTCAATGATCTTAAAAGCGAAGGATAAGCCTCAAAATTTACGAATATAATGAGTGGGAATATAATGCTTATCTATCATAAAACCATATGAAATATCAATTTTTGCTTTACGCCTAATTTTTGACGACAATTAGCAAAAAATGTTAAATGTTAACACTCAGTCCATTTGAATATGAAAAATAAAATTGACTTTGATTAAATGTTTTTATTTATCATGCAATTCTTCTTGCGACCAAAGATTTGAATAAAAGTTCAAAAAATAAGATAGCTTAAAAAATAATATACGGTAGTGTTTACTAATAGATGAATAGTATATAAATTCTATTAAAATGGATTTGATCCAAAAAAATATAAAATCAAAAATAATTGTTATAATTTAAATGAAGAGGTAATTTAAAACGATTTTATTTATGATCAAATTTTATATATTTTTTTGGATCAAATCCATTTTAATAGAATTTATATACTATTCATCTATTAGTAAACACTACCGTATATTATTTTTTAAGCTATCTTATTTTTTGAACTTTTATTCAAATCTTTGGTCGCAAGAAGAATTGCATGATAAATAAAAACATTTAATCAAAGTCAATTTTATTTTTCATATTCAAATGGACTGAGTGTTAACATTTAACATTTTTTGCTAATTGTCGTCAAAAATTAGGCGTAAAGCAAAAATTGATATTTCATATGGTTTTATGATAGATAAGCATTATATTCCCACTCATTATATTCGTAAATTTTGAGGCTTATCCTTCGCTTTTAAGATCATTGAATTTGATTTTTATATAAAATAGTTATATATTAGAAAATAATATGAGTTTATGTGATATTATTTTTCAGAAGATTTCATTCTATATGCCTATGAAAAGTACTCTCAAAACTAACTTTTTCCTAATTATAATTAAATCTAGAATATTGTATTATGCTTAGTATTATTTCATTTTTCTCATTCAATTTAGAATTTACAAATGTCAAAAAATTGAGAGCTGTCACTTTTGATGAATTTCTGTTTATTACACTAATAGATTTGGAATTTTTTATTTTTACAAAGTGGTTGAAATCCCTTTGAATTTATGAATAAATTGATAATGAAATAAGATTTTCTGTATCCTCTTTCGAGATGTTTAATTTGCTCTTACAATGATAAAGAATTAATAACCTTTCGAAACAAATTTTGAATCATTCTCAATTTTGCATCGAAATTGGTTTTAGAGAGTGAATATAGTCACATCTTAGTTTTCTTGTACTTTTATTCAATTCTACAATAAAATAACGTTGAGGCAAATTATGACCAATTTTTTGTGAGAATATTAACCATAGCAATCTAAAATAGCAGTATACATACAATTTTGAATCATTCTATAAGATCTAATTATCATTCTTCCTGAATTGCCGAAATGAAATCAAGATACAGTTTAGAAGTTTTAGTAACTACACATTTATTCAATTGCTAATATAGTAATATTTATATATCCAAAAGAACAAAGAATATTAATTTGAAATACTATAAATATATTTTATTTATTCATCATACCAATTAGGGTTGATGGTTGTACGAATAGAATTGCGACCATCTCTGCATTCATGTGCTTCTTCTGCTGTAACAGCGGTAAGGATGCACTTGTAGAACGAAATGTCGAGACTAGCCTTAGCAAACAGAGTTTCTCTATATTTCCAAAATTCTACGACATCATTTGTCAATTTCTTAACAACTGCGCGAATATTTTCCACGGAAACTCCTGTTACTCCATATAATGAATTGAAATCGTACTCCAATCTCCAATCCAAGTCATTCTGTGGATTGGTTGAGATGTCTGCGAAGTACTGGTGATAGTTGAACATTGATCCGCCCTTTAAAGTGTAAATACGGAAGCCAGGATTATTAAGATGGGCAGGAGTAACAGCAGGAGCGCAAAGACTGTATAATTCGGTCTCAGCCTTCCATATTGGGATGAATTGGTCCTTATGAGTATGAGAAACGAGGATAAATTCGTAATTAAATGTTTTTATCGTATCATAGAAGGTTTTGATGTATTCTGTATGATAGTTTGGCTGGTAATCATCATGGGCAACACCTGTTGGTGTATGCATGACAATTCCGACCTTCATCTTCTTATTTACTGCATCTTGAGTTACATTTTTGATCCAAGCGAACTGATTGTAAGGATCTGGGTTCTGTGGGTCATAAGCTCCATGACGCCAGTGATAAATGATGTTGTTAAGAAGTAAAATACGAAGTTTTTGAGATGGAATATCGTGATAATAAAATCCTCCCTTCTTAAAGGTATCATATTGCTCAGTATTCATGTATTTCTTAAATATCTCAGCAAGTGATGCGAAATCATCTGGATCATTTGTGAAGTTACCGTAGTTTGGAATAAGATCGTTATTTCCTATTGTGAATAAGACTGGAATGTTTGGATAGCTTGCAGTCATCTTGTTTAGCAGGTATTGGATTGCACCAGAAATCTGTTCTCTTGAAGGGCCAAGAGAATGACCTAATGAATCACCTCCGAAGACAATGAAAGCAGGATTCTTCTCAACTTTTGGTAAAAAGTTGCAAAGTGATTCGAATGTAACATTAGGAGTATCGCAAATGTATTGTCCGAAAGGTCTTGGAATTTTTGAACCATTTGAAGCTCTGCAATATGTATTATAGTCAGCAATAGAATCGTTCTTGTACTTTGGATCAACATGGATATCATTAATCATAATGAAACGCATTTCTTTTGATGGTAAAAGAATACCAACTAAAATTACAATAAATGCAGCAACGCAAAGTGTTGTGATTACAGATATGTATGCTATGCGCCTAATTGTACACTTTTTATCATCATCTCCAAGGAGAGGTGACTGGTTCATCGTTTTTGACAAATCTTGGTGTCACTTTTATAATAATTCAGAAAATAAGATTTTTATTGAATTATCGCGATTGAAAAAAAAATTTTTTCGTCTATAAACATGTTTCTCTCTCAATATAAAATCTTTTCGGATAAGATGTTCCTTTACTGTTAAAATTTCGCATAAAAATGATTGAGAAAACTTTCAGGATTATTTTTCGCTTTGTAAATCGACTTGGATTATACAGACTCCATGAATATATTAACCCATCGAAGCTACACATTGCAATGGAATGGTCCGATTTCCTTTTAATGATAATTTTATCAATGATAGGATATTATGTAAGACTTTACAACACGCAAAATCCGCCAGATGTCGTTTGGGATGAAGTCCATTTCGGAAATTTTACAAATGGCTACATTAAAGGCGAATATTTTTTTGATATCCATCCGCCATTCGCCAAATTACAATTTGCCTTCTGGGATTGGCTTCAAGAGTACAATGGAAGCATAATGTTTGAAGGATACGACAGAGGATACAAAGATGAAAATTTCATTTCTCTTAGAATTACTCCTATCATGTACAGCTCATTAGTACCATGCATGATCTATGTTGCAATGAGATCAGCACTATTTTCGAAAATTGCTGCATTTACTTCGGGATTTTTAATCTCAATTGAGACTTCTATGATAGCAGAAGGAAAATTTCTTTTTACAGATGGCACATTACACTTTTATACGATGTTTAGTATGATATTCATTAATCTTTTCCTATCAAAACATACAAGAACGAAAGAATGGTGGAGATGGATGAAAATTTCATCATTTTTCATGGGTCTCGCCTTCTCAATTAAGAACACTGCACTCTCTCTTATCTTTCTAACAGCTTATACTCAAATTGTTGAAATTATTATTTTCCGAAATTTCGATTTTGACATAGATTTATATGCAGAAGTATGCTCAAGGATATGGTATTCACTTTGGCCAGGTCTCCTCATTCATTTTGCAATTTGGGCCTATCATTTTACTGTATTACCATATGGAACCGAAGATGTATTCGATTCCGACTGGGAATCCTACAGTTTGATTGATAGAAAACGAGATAATGAGACTGCTTTCATACAATTTGTTCATTGGCCGCCTTTAACTCTCAGAGTTTTAGATGTCATTTCAAGTACTTTCATTTCTAATGGCTTGAACTTTGAACCGCATGATAGTATGTCAAGGCCATTCGATTGGCCGCTGCTACTTGATAAATGGATCATGTATTACCCTAGATGGCAAGGAGATTTCGTTTGCTGTGGCAATTTATTCGTATACGTCATGACATTTTCAGGAGTTATACTTAGCATGCTTGGATTCTGGTCAAAGAAACAGTTTCCTTACGCATTAAGATTTATTGTTGGATATTGGGTTTCATACTTACCATTTTATGGTGTTCCACGTACAATGTTCTTGTACCACTACCATGTTCCACTTATGTTTGCTTCTTGTTGTCTTGGCTGTGCTTTAGATTTGTGGCTTCCCAAATATTGGAAAGGATTTGCCTGTGTTTTCATCATCTTCGCAGGACTTGTTGGCTATTTCATCATTAACCCATTCATTTACGGAAATGGAAGAGTTAACAGAGAATGGAGACTTCTAAACAAGTCATGGAGAGATGGAAAACCAGGAAGACACAAATATTATGACTACATGGCTTCTAAAGCTTCCTCTCAAAAGAAAGCATATCACGAAAATGATCCAAATTATACAGATCCAACACCAGAATCTGGTAGGAGAGGAAGAGGAAGAGCAAGAAGGAGAGCAAGAAGTTGATATTATTTTTTATGTTTGTTTTTATAAATGTTTAGTTTTGTTTAAATTTAGAGAATTTCGAAAATTATTTTTCTCAATATAAGGTTTCATATGGTGAAACCTATGCATTCTCAAAATATAGGCATTGTTATCATACTCTATTTTATGAGTTCGCATTTTGAGAAGAATACGAATTTTAATTTATTGATAGATGGTCTCATGGATTTTAACATACTTATAGCTGCTGTGAATGCCTTTGTCGATACCGTGAATTATTCAAAATTACATGGAATCCATTCATTCTATCGAAATCTGGAATTGAGAATTTTTTTGTTAGTCTTTTTAATGATAGTCATCAGAAAAGAGTGGTGAAGACAGGAAAATTTGTCATAGAAATGAGATGAATGCTGTGCACATCAAGTTCCCAAACACTAAGGTATTTTTCAATCAAGCAAATCTTTATTTATCAGGACACCATTCCCAATATGTATTGCTTTAGCTTTCATAGAAAAGGGAATGCTAGATTCTTATAGAATCGCAGAAGAAGTCCAATTTTGAACAACAATGTAAGAGAAACAATAATTTGAACATATTTTGAATCTATGGAAATGAATCAAAAATCAATCAGATTAAGGGTGCACCCGTATGTACGTTTATTTGAGAGGCGGAGGATTACCCTCTCAATTTTGAGGGATTCGTTAGTTTATTTTCTCGATGAATATGCAATAAAATTTGATTTTTACCTTATCAATATACTTCATATAATATACACATGTTCATGTAAAAACTTTTTTCCAAAATCCTCAGGAATTAAGGGATTTTTGAATTTTAAGAATTTTTTTCGAATTTTTTCGAAAAAAAATATTTTCAGAACAGCCTTAACGGCTAAGATTTAGGAACAATGTTAAGTATCAAAAAGAAAGGAGGTCTGATATAGACAACATATATCGTTGAAGGTTGAAAAAATCTCTAATATTTGAGCCCAAAATTTCAAATTTTAATTTTTTGAAAAAAGAGGCCACCCGTATGTACGTTTATTTGAGAGGAGGAGGATTATATTTTTGAAAGGGTGAAACATTATGAATATGTTAATTATATAATAATATGTATTATTATAAAAAAGAAAAAATAAAGCACGTTAAAATTTTTCTTTCTTGATTTTTTACAAAATCTACTTAGAATTATGCAAAATATGACTAAATAATTATAAATTTCAAGTTAAATTTTAATTTTGATAAATAATTTAAATTTCAAAATATCAAGTTCAGTTCGACTATGTATGTAGTAATTCCTCAATAAAGTGCCAAAACCCTATTAAAATATATGAACATTTTCAACATTTTAATGTTTTTATTTAAAAATTTGATGGAATATGAGCTTCAAACAATTATTATGTAAATAAAAATAATTAAATATATGTATTTATTCGTATTACAACCGTAGTAAGTCGATTCTTCCTTTCTTCTACTGAGGTTTGAATTTGATTTCGAATTGTAAAGAGATTCAAAGGGAAAATACTAGCGGATAAAAACTACCTCCATGAAAGGGTCATAATGGAGTCAAGTTGTATTTTTTGATATTTTTTGCTTTTCGAGCCTAAATAGGTAGCCAAGATAATGCCTAAAAATAAGGTTCTAAATTCTGAAGTTTGCATGATCCTCTCGTGTGCACCCTTAACTGAAAAGATCAATATTTGTATGAGAAAAATATTATACATGAATATAAAAAATTAAAATAAAACAAACAAATATTTATTTTTTCGCAGAAGGAGAAGCAGGAGGTTGACTTGCAGCAGGCCTTGTATAAATCTGTGCATTGAGAATTGCTCTCTGTCTGAAGTTAGCAGCATCAGTCATTCTCGTCTTTGTCTGCAGTGGAGGCAATTTCGTTCCATTGTTCTTTATGTTTTCTTTAGAGTTCTCTTTGAGTTGATTTGCGAGACTTTGCGCTTTCTCAGCTTGTTTCAAGTTTATTTTGATGTGTTCTATTGATTGTTGGGCTTTTTCAACATCAACATTCGCTTCGTTAACTAATGCTTCTTCTTCACGTTTCCAGAATTGTTTTCTCGCCGTCAAAGTCTTGATTTGGTCCTTCTTTTTCGCGTCAATTTTCTTCTGAATTGATTTATGCCATGTTGCGAGGTTTTTCCTTCTTTCTTCTTCTTCAAGGCGGTCTGCGTTCTCTTTAGTAGTTGCAGCTTCATCGTATCTCTTCGATTCTACAAGTGCTTTTTGTCTTCTTCGAAGTTGTAAGAGCTGATTTGATGGTTTTTTGAAATGCGCGGGTAAATCGTTATTAAACTCTTTGCTGATCTCTTGTATTTCATCTTCGAACTTAGTATTGATTTGTGTAAGGTCTTCTTTGGCTTGATTTCTCAAGTTATTGTATAATTCTTCCCATTTCGCTTTGTTATTCTCTAACTGAGATTTGGCGTCTTGTAATTTGGCTCTTATTTCTTCTACTTTGTTGTTTTGCAGTTGCTCCACAGCTCCAAGTTGTCCAAACGTCATAATTGCTTTTGCATATTGATCAGCCTTTTGAGCATTGATGTATTCACCCTTGGCCTGATATTCTACTCTTCTTTTACGAAGTTCTGCAAGGATTAACTCAAGTTCATCACGTGGATAGTACTTTATATTGTCAGTTTGAATTATGTCATCAACAATACGATTTACTTCATCGGGTTCGAGTGCTGGTGGTATTGGTTCCGGTTCTGGAGGTTTGTTCATTAATGTTCTTGCTATTTCAACTCTATGTGGATATTCTGCGATATAATCAAGTAAAAAATTGCATTTTTTAACAAGATCTGGTTCGTGTTGCTCCGTGTAAATATCTCTAAATACATAAAGTGGTGATACAAGTGTTGGATAAATCTGTGGATCAACAAGTAAAATGTCAACACCAGACATGATTTTGTTAATAACAAAGTTTGGATCTAGGTTGGGTGCATACTTAATTGCATAATCTATATTAAAGATTGGTTCGTCTGGGTCGCCGTACAAAACAAAAAACTGAAAAAAAAATTTCAATTGTACGTTATTTGATTGTTTACAAATTTTCTCATTTCCGCGCGCAAAATTTTATATGGATAAAAAGAAATCATATGTTCAATACAGTAAAATCATGTATTGGAAGGGTACAAATTCAAGACAATACTTTTAATTATTTGATATCCAGAGTGCATGATATTACATTCAATACTCACATCTTGAGTGCTATAATTGTTTCTGTGTTGTCCATCTATTTTATTACTGAGTAAAAAATTTATATGATATTTCGTATTAGTTTATTTCTGATTTAGATTGAACAGTTGTCATTCATATCTTAACACTAATCATTGACTAGTGGTTCATTTATTGTTAATGATTCAAATGCTGAATTACAATCAAACTATAAATGATGCAATTTTTTGATATATTGCCTTCACAAATGCGATATCTTACCTGTTATTTAATATCCATCGCATTTATGGTTAAAAACATAATAACAGATTAATTCAGTAAAGATGATGTTTTACTTATTGATTGTTTTAGTTCAATTTCAATCCACAAAGGAAACTAAACTTTTTCATCATACTAGGAAAGAGCGGTAGGCAATAACCAAAGAGAATTCCCCAACGCCATTTGAAGAAATCCTGATAGGTATTAGCTTTAATCAATTTATACTTTGGATTCCATTTTTCAAATTCATTTGGATCATCAACTTGCATTTTCAATGGTGCGCCTTTATGAACTTTTAATGGCTTCGGCTGACTTTCTTTCTTCTTAATTAGACTGCTTCCTGTTGTATCAAACCATAATTCAACATTTTTAACTTTATCTGGAGCGAATTCGTTCGCAAAATCATCAAAGAATTTCTTCAATGTCTCATTTTCAAAATATGGAAAAACTCCTTCGGCAACAAAAATGTAATTGACTTTTCCATATTTTTCTAGTAAATCTCTCATCCATTTTACTTCAAAGATTGACATTGAAATATGAATTTGATTCTCTTTAGGTGGAATTAGGGTTTCTCTGTATTCAATGACATCAGGAAGATCGATTTCAACGAATTTGACATTTTGTAATGAAAAATCGTTGTTTTTATTTGCCAAATACTCAATTCTATCCATACGAGTATCAAGACCACATCCAAGATTGACAACTATGCATGTTTCTTCATTTTGATGAGATTTAATAAATTCTATTATATTTTGATCAAAATACCATGAACGTACGGGGCATCCTAAAGATGGTTTGATATCCATTGGATATACTGAAAAATCGTAATCAATTTTGCCAATTAATTCAACTGCTTTTGGGTCATGAAGAATAGCATCTTCTCCTCTTTTTGATTCTGTGGCTCTATAGTATAATGGAATCAAAAGAGTTGGAGAGACTTGGGAACTAAACTTCTCTTCCATTCAACAATAAAAATGTTGAAAAAGTATTCAAAAATTTGAATAATGCTCAAAATTTATCTCTATTGAGTTATCTACCATTATTCACCCCCATTGATAATTTTTAAATTTTAAAAATTGGGGATCAGGGGATCAAGAGATCAGGAAAATTGAGAGGAAAAAGTCGTGTTAAGGGTCCATTGTAAAAATTGAAAGTCTCTCAAAATTGAGAGGTGATTTGCAAATAATCGTTATCGTCTTTTTTCGAAAATCCACTTTTCCTAGTGTTCTGATTAATATTTTGTGAATGTAACAATGAAGTATATGTTTTAATAAGATGATAATATATTCTATCACTTCAAATCACATAAAAATTGAAAAATCAGCGAGTTTTATAAGAAAATGATTTTTTCGAATTTTTTTGCTTCTGGATGCGTGTTTTGAAAAATAGATATTTTCGAATTTTGATTTTATTATAAGTATGAATTTTATATTAGGAATTTTTTGACCTATTTCCAATCATTAATTCCTAAGTTTTTCTAGGAATTAAATTGAGAAGAAATTAGGAAATTCGCTTTAATGCCATTACATACTAATATTTTGATGCATGTAGTTTATATTTAAAGAGGCTAATGTCGGAATATCGTACATTTTATAAAAAATTCAAAGAATTGACAATTGGATAGCACAAATTTAATTCTCCAGACAAAGTATTATTGTTTATATATTCAAAACATTATCCTTAGGAGTAGGTGACAAAAGTGCATACTCTTAAACAACCGTCGGATTTCCGGGTGAAATCGTGACACACTTTCGTCTTTCGTAGGCAGTGGTGGTTGTTACAAAAGGTAACTTCGAATGTAGCGTGAAATCTGCAAAAAAAATTCTGAAATTTGAATGGAGAACACAAAAATTGAATAGTTTACGTCAATAAAAAAGAGAAAAATGAAGCCAATGTGTCTCGAACCTAGGACTTAGAGCAGCAATCCCACTGTTTATAACATTACACTACATGCATCTCTCACCTCAGTGAATGAGATCAACTATATGATAACTTTTTCCCCATTATATTCTTGTGGAAAAGTGACAAATAGCAACTTTGACCCTCTCTCTTATCCTTAGTTTTGAAATGTTGGCAAAAAATTTTCGTGTTATTTTTTGTGTTTCAGCATAAATTATGTATTTACTTATGAAAGGTAAGCATTTTATTCATTATCATAAAGATATACCATAACAAATTGATAACATTTAAAAAAAAGTGTATTTTAGTGGGTATTATTCTGGCCAATGCCCATTTTTAAACGATTTAATATTGACCATATCAATAGCCGACTCAATGTAAAAATTTAGATATTATTTTTTTCATTATTCAAACTTTGATAAATTTTAGTATAATAAATGATTTTGTTTCGTGTATGATACAGAAATGAAAAGCTTAATTAATATCATTTTGCATTTTTTCAAGAATGTTAGAGTACATCTACATTAAAAAATCGGATTCGAATTGCGATACTGCATCAAATTGTTGCACATCTGATAAGGATCTCAAAAGAGTAAAGTTAATTTTTTTGTGTTTTTTTAAGTTTTGGGTCTTAGTAAAAACACCATCTTGAGCAATATTTTTGGGATGACGATAGGCCTTATTTGGCCTTACAGTGGACCCTTAAGGGTCCACGTTAATCAAATAGAGTAGACAATATTAAAAAGCATCTTTTTTTAAAACTGGACGATAATGATTATTTTTTTACAAGCCCTAAGAAAAAAAAAATCATGAGAAATGATGGACTGCTAGTCTTATCAGAAGTACCTTTTAGAAAATAGAAATCAATCTGTTAATTCAATATATCCCTTAAGATTTAGAATGATTGTCAAAAAAAAATCTTAAATACAAGTATCTTGATGAAAATTCAAATGCCATTGGCTTTTTCATTGTTAATGAATTATTTCATATCTATGGAATTAATCAAAATTCATAAATTATATCCAAAATCTTTATGGTCATTATTTTTCACATGCATAACATAGTATTTTCTCTTCTAATAAGGGTTTCGTTTTGCTAAAATTGTCACTTTTATAGCTAATTAATTTTTGGTTGTTTTGCGAAACCAAAAAAAAACTATGATATACAATGTGTGTGTAAAGAAAATACTTTATTTACTAGTTAAAAAATCATTTGGTATTGATCAAGTTATTTTTTCTGGATAAGATATTATATGGATAATTGGATAGAAAATACAATTATATAATCTTGTACCTGGTTTAATTAAGCTAATTGTCATCAGAAACTTGTAATTTTTATGAATTTCAGATTTTCTTTTCATTACTGCTTTTCTTAATAGGTCAAGTTCTTATTTACGTTATAAAGTATGATATTTACAAATATCAAGTTATCATGTTTTTTGAGAAATTACGAGAAACAAACAAAAATGAAAAAGATAGGAATAGCAATGAATAGTGATGTGGGTATAGAAAATGTAAGAGATATGAATGCAAAGCAATCAGTATTTAGGATATTGACCATAGATTTCGAAAAAAAAATGCTGCATATTGAGCGAAAACTATGATTATATTATAAGGCTGTCATTTAAAGCATAATGAAACTATTCCCTTTTCATTTTAATCGAATAAGATAGTAAAGATTTTTGAATTAGCTAGAAACTGATGAGATGTTTTCACAAATCAGATTTTTAATCTCTATAATGCATAATTCACTCAATATCTCAATTTTGATATTGCGAGATATTTTTGCTATCGGTTTCGCAATTTTGACACAATAGCAAGAGGGTTCTATAAGCATTATTATCAACGTAGAATCTGAATATCATATCAGAAAATGTCGCAAATCTGACATTTACCCGACCAAATAGCAAAAATAATTGAATACTTTTCGCAAAAACTTTAAAAATCGATAAAAATATGAAATATAGATATTAAAGAGACTTTTTATATAATATTCATAAAGATTTTCCAAAAATATGATACCGCAAAATTAAAAAAGTGACGTCTTGAGTGGAGTCAAAGGTCGAAATTGCTAGCTAAATGTTTTTTTAGCGAAATTGCGTATTGTACGTTTTTTTCGCAAAACGAAACCCTTAATCCTAAGTAGCTTTTGTAAAAATTCATCAAAAAAATTTTAACGTGCTTTAATTTTTTATTTTTTAAAATAATACATATTATTATATAACTAGAATATTTACAAATTTTACTGCTTTCAAAAATTTAATCCTCCTCCTCTCAAATAAACGTACATCCGGGTGGCCTGTTTTTTGCAAAAAATAAAATTTCATTTTTTTATGCTTAAAAAGTCAGAATTTTTATTTGCTTCTGGGATATATGATGGCTATTTCAGACGCCCATTCTTTTTGATACTCAACATTAAACATAAAACTTAGCCGTTAAGGCTCTTCTGAAAATATTTTTTTTCGAAAAATTTGCGAAAAAAATCAAAAAATTTAAAAATCCCCGAATCTGCAGGGATTTTAAAAAATTCTTTTTAGTAAAACTTAAGGATATTGTATCAGATATATTGGTATGGGCAAATTCAATTTTAATACAATATTCATCGAGATATTGCGCTAACGAAGCCTTCAAAATTGAGAGGGTAATCCTCCTACTCTCAAATAAACGTACATGCGGGTGCACCCTTAATTTATTTCGATCAAACTAATGATATTCACAAATGCTTTGCTTATTCACCGATTTTTAATATTCCATCCCTTTTGGAATACTTCCTTTCACATGGCGCGCATATCAATGAAAAAGATGAAGATGGAGAAACCGCACTTCATATCGCAGCATGGAATAATAATATTGAAACTGCTGAAGTTCTTATTTCATATGGCGCGAATATCAATGAAAAAGATGAAGCTGGGAAAACCGCACTTCATAATGCAACATGGAATAATAATATTGAAACTGCTGAAGTTCTTATTTCACATGGTGCGAATATCAATGAAATAGATGAAGCTGGAAAAACAGCACTTAATATTGCAACAACGCTTAATCGCAAAGAAATAATTGAACTTCTTATTTCACATGGTGCGAAAAAATAATGTTCTTACAAAAAATATTTTTCTTTATTTTTCTGGTAATTTCCAGGATGAATTTCATTAGAAAGAAATACGTTTTTATCACTGATTCTATATATTTCTCTAAATTTTTAGTTTTGTGAATCTTAGATGATTATTTCAAGCTTACAACAATCTAACATAACTTACACCATATCTATCGTCAAGATATTCCCAATAATTCGATATATAAATTGCAGGAATAAATCCAAATCTCAAAAATTACACCTCTAATATCTGTCCGTGCTATGAACAACCTCATTCCAGACACTAACCCAAATAATTAGAATTTTTGATTAATGATTTTTCCAAAGGTACAGACACTCTAAAAAAAAAATCAAGAGTATTTTAAAGCTTTCATTGGGGCAGTGCAATAGAAAATAGCAGCCTACGCTTTATAATAGGATGTTTACTCGAATGACCTCCTAAAGATTGATTATATTTTACATTTTCAGAAAAAGTCCTTAAAAACTATTCATAGCAATAGGATAGCTTCTAAAATGATTAAAATCATGAATCACGTTTACAGGAACATGCATTAAAAAATCAAATTTCGATTCGATAGGATCTAGCCAAAAATTTTGTTAGATAATCAAATAAATAAATCATATTAAAATTGTAAATATCCAATAGAAATCTACAATAATTTGGCATATACAATTTTTTTGGGAGAGATTTGATTGCGAAATTAAAATGCTTTCTTGCCTTTTTGCAGAAGTAATTTTACTTTACTTACCAAACGATTAATGCTTACCAAACAATTACTTGGATTTCATGAGATTCATTTCATATTGAAATTTGATATCTTATAACACTGTTGTTGTTTGATATCACAATCAATAACCATTACCAAACATTTACATATACACTTTGATACGTTTATTCTATTAACTTGATAAAATAACAATATTGTTTCTAAATTATGAAATTATTTTAAGATAAAATGTAAATTTATAAGGAACATATTTTGAATTCTCCGATTAAATGCATGTATGAGGTATAATTTTTTTTTTAAAATAGGAATTGCGAATAATAGAATGAAGAAATAAATTGAAACATAGTTCGAAAATGCATGCGAATCAAAAGAACAACGAAATTACGATAAAAATTTATAACTGTAAATCATTGGCAATTAACTCACAATTTTTGAATATTATCACAAAAGTGGACTTGATTATTTTTCATTGCCTGAAAATATGGAGTTTGACGAATTTATATCATGAATTGAATTTAAATAAATTTACGTAAACTTCAGAAAAATATAAATATTTTCATACAAAATAGTTTCTGAAGAAGGCTGAAGCAATTGGTATAATTAAATGACATTTGCGTAAATAATATTTCTTCGGAATAAAATAATCTCAACTTGTTCTCAAAAATACCAGTTTACAAAATGAATCTCGCGTTTTACCTTTTTTCTTCAATTATAAAACAAGACACTAGTAGAAAATCACACAGATTGCTTTCACAAGCTTGATTTGATTTCTTATTTGATGAAGATGTTGACGTACAAAAAGTTACAAATTCAAATCAAAATTGTAATTCTAATTCTTGGATTTATGGATGTAGATTTCACGATCAACAACAAACGACAATTGTATTATCAAATTCATGTTTCTTAGTTGAAAATTGCTTTTTTACCAAATGCAGTAATAACAATCCTAATCTTTTTGCAGGTGTTATATATACTTATAATTGGAAAAAGCTTGTTCTATATCGCTTATGCGTTTCTGATTGCCATGTAGTTGATTATAATTATCCAGCACATTTTTGGTACACAAAACATGAAACTAAACCAATATTTACAAAATTTATTGATTGTTCATTGCATAAAATTGGAATATCTACCGATATTTATACTGATATTGCCTATATTGAAAATTTGCAACAATTTCATGGAATTAACACATCTAAAGAAATGCAATCACAAGATTACATATATAAAATTATGAACTCTGAAGTTGAAATTTTTTATTCAACTTTCGAAAAAATTAGTTCCTCATCAGAAAGGGCAACAATATTGAAATTCGGGTCATGTACTTGCATGATGAAATATACTAATATCATTAAAAACAATTATGATTTCCCTATTATAGAGAATGATAACACCCCTCTTCATGGATATCGCTGTGTAATATTGGACAATAATCCAGAATTAGAAGGGCCGCGAGGATATCTAATTTCAGGTGCAAGGATTATTACTTTTGTGGAATCGTATATTGCAAATAATGGAGATCATTTGCAAGCCGAATTGAAAATGGGCTCAGAAAACAGTTTCTCAAGAACTAATGCAAACCTGAAACGCGACGATTGCGATGGCTTTGCATCAACAATTTTGAGGATGAACGAAAGAATCTGTCAACCTTCTTTTGAAAACGAGCAAGAGCATTTCCTTGCAAAATTAGTTGTTGTTAATATTGTATCTATTTCTCATAAAAAATGAAATAAAATTATGTATGAATATTTGTATAAGTTGAGGTATAACACTAATGCAATAGTTTTATATCAAATTAACAGTTGAGTAGTTAGGGGTGGCTGAGATATAGTGAAATCTCATTGATTCATTAAATGATCTCCTTGAAGAACTTTCCTCATCATTTAAATCAATGCTTCAGTGGTTTTGCGTACTAAGGGATGTATTAAACAAGAATTTCTAGATGTGAAATTTAGGACGATAAAAAAATTCTAAAAATGGGAGCGCTTTACTGGCTTGCAGGCATTATAAGCAGTGGATGCGTCTTCATTTCAGTTTTTTTACATATTTTCATTTGCACCTATGTTAAGAAGTCAGGTATCTATTTATTGGACGATTCTTTGATTGTAACAAATCTAATTTCAACATTTTTAGTCACTGCGTTTACAACTGCAATTTTAATATTCAAAACATCAAATAACATAAATCATACAGCTGTTTATATATCAATTTGTGCATTCATCTGCTTCTTTGAATTTTACATCGGATTACGTCTTGCATTCAATCCAGCTATCTATCTTTCGTCATTACAGGCCATCTGGAAATTAAATATTGAGTCAAACGAAATAGATACAATACAAAATAAATATAAATGCTGCGGATTTTATAAAATCAACGACATCAGTAGCGATGATTGCCCATTTAAGAAACCAAATTCATGCTACTTTGCAATTAATAAAAATGTAGGCTCTAAAATCGTTACAACGGGTTTATCCTTTTTATTAAATGCCTTAATTCTTTTGATAACGGCCATCTTGCTAGTTATAGATGTATCTAGTAGCGACACAAACCAAGACGGGTCAATAAATCTCAATTAATCAAATAAAACAGAATTTGTAATTATTATTACGTCAAGTTCGTTTCAGATCTAATAATTATCTTGTATTTGTTAGTAAAGAATAAATATTTCTTATGAAATAAACTGTTTTCGATAAAATTATTCATTGATAATTTAATTTTACAATTTATGCTTAATATTGGTGGGCAACCCCAAATTTTAGCTAAAAGTGACAGGGAAAAAAACGTTTAGTATTAAAAAAAAAGACCGATGAGAGCTTCGTTCGAAATATAGAGGGAACTGAGAATGCGCAACCATTCTCAGGGAATATTGGATGCTATTCCCGTTCCCTCTGTATGGAAAATTGAGGTTTTCAAAGGGAGTTAAAATAATATCAAATTTATACTAATTTACTTCAAAATACAAAAGTATTTGACAGCTAAAATTAGTTACTTTAGCAAGCCTATCAATACCCTTTTACGATTATTGTTACTTTTTCGAAATAAAAGTAAAAACAAATTTATACTAATTTACTTCAAAATACAAAAGTATTTGACAGCTAAAATTAGTTACTTTAGCAAGCCTATCAATACCCTTTTACGATTATTGTTACTTTTTCGAAATAAAAGTAAAAACAAATTTATACTAATTTACTTCAAAATACAAAAGTATTTGACAGCTAAAATTAGTTACTTTAGCAAGCCTATCAATACCCTTTTACGATTATTGCTACTTTTTCGAAATAAAATAAATTTATTATCAAAAACCTTTTTTTCTTAGTAAAAATAAACGAAATTTTTTACCTTATGAACTTTTGATGGAAATATGCAAATTTAAAATAATAAAGAAAGCCGCGAGCGAAGCGATCGGCTTAGTTCGAAGATTTTGATTCAAATCTTTGCTGATCTGTAATTCGCGGAAGCCGCGAGCGAATCGAGCGGCTTAGGTCTAAGATTTTGATTCAAATCTTTGCTTATATTCCTTAAATTCTTTCTGAAACTCGCAACAGTTCCATAAAAAATTTTAAATTCTAAACTGTCGAAATTACTGATCGGTAATCACACCCTTCACGGGTGTGTCACTTTTTACAAGCGTGTCACTTTTAGCTAAAATTACCCCTACTCTCAAATTTTTTCTCGGTAGTTTAAAAAAATTTTTGTAATTTTTATACAGAATATTAACACTTTAATTTCGTTGGCTACTTCCTGCTCGTTTCAATTGCAGCAGAAAGCCATTTCATGCCATCATCTAATCCTTGGCCAGTTAATGCGCTGGTTTCAAATATTTCACAACGGTCTTTTCCGATTAATGGGAGCTCTAATATTGATGCAATTCTTTCTGCGTTAGCGGCACCCTCGATATCTTGCTTATTTGCAAATACAGCTATAGGAACTTTCCGCAGCTGCGCTGCATGTGCAACTTCGTGTATTTCTTCTTTCGCCGTTTGAAAATTCGACGTATCTGCTGAATCGACTACGAATATAACGCCTGATGAACCTTCAAAATAGTGCTTCCAGAGTGGTCGCATTTTATCTTGACCACCTAAATCCCAAAACAAATATTCTTTTCCACCAATTTCGATATTTTCTGCGACGAAACCAACTGTTGGCTGTGTGCTCTGTACTTGGCCTGTTTTCAATCGAAACAGGATGGTTGTTTTACCCGCAGATCCAATGCCAAGGATCAGGATAGTGTCTGGCTCAGACTGGACACAACCCATTATGTTTCGCTTTTTGACGGAAACCGTTTTGTAGAATTATTCGATGAGCTAAATTTTCAAAATTTTCTATATTTCAGATTATATTTGGATACCCTTATATACCTCCATGAATTTTGCAAGTAGTTTTTGTTAAAATTCTCAAAAACTAATTTTTTTTCTCCAATTTTTTTGTCAATTGGAGATTAATCACAAATAGATGCCTTTCAGGCATTTTTATATGAAAATCAACCTAGCTCTACAGTTCGGATCATGGTATTCTGTCCCCGATAATTTATGAAAGAAAAGTCGATTCAACATTTTAACCACATGCCGTACAGAACAGTGGAAACTAAAATATATCATCCAGAAGGCTGTAAAACGATGGAAAAACTATAACAGAATAAAATTTTAGTTAATACATATATGGTTATAATGTATTTGGATAAAAACCCTTGAATTAATAATAAATCTATCTCATTCATGGCTAATTATTAAAATTTCATGAATGATGAAATCTTATGAAATCTGAGATTGCTATCATATCCATTCATTCGGTAAATCCAAAAGTATCTATTATATTGATTGTAGCTTCTCGATTTCTAACAGAAAAATTCATTTAGATCTTGTTATTAAAAAAGTGCCAGAAGAAAACTGACATTTTTGTCCGTTACTTTTCAATGTATCCCCGTTTTTACACACGAGATGTACCACCAGCTGGTATAAAAAGCAAACAATTTGACGGCGTAAATGGATGTTTTCAGGATGATGTAGAATTTAAAGGACCAAATGCTCAACTTCCTTATCGAAATCAACGTTTAGGTGAACCAGGTGTTCCACTTCATACACACGGTGTTATTGATCCACCTTTACCATCAAATCTCGTCTTTGGCGTTAGCAGTGGTTCTAAGAACTTTTCCGCTGCTGATTGTTTGAAGATGGAACCAGACCATGAAACAGCCGCACATATGAGATTCGTCGAAGCTCAAGAAAAGAATTACGAACGTAGCAAGGCAAAACTTGGCCAAACACGCGATGGAGTTGCAGTTATTCCAGAAGAACTTAAGACAAGAGGCTTTGGTGTTAATACTCGCTTTGGAGAAACAGCCGGACAAGTTATTCAAGGCACATTATGTGATATTCCAAACGATGTTACTCTTACACCAGGATATCAAACAAGAAGAAATTACGATTGGGAAAAATCAAAAATCAACTTAAGAACACATACATTCGGTATCAAGGGTGAAGGCAATATCGATCACCTTAACGAAGTAATGGATATGACAAACACAACTGGCGGAACAAATCTTGTTCCATTACCTGTTGATCGTGCGGACAATAATCAAATCGTTCCAGATCCAGATCCAGTTGAACCATGGACACGCACTACAATGAGAACAATGACTGCAGATCAGCTCCATGGAACAAGAGATCCAGCACAGAGACCACCAGCTGGCCTTTCTACACAAGCCATAGAATTTACTGTTGGTGATACAATCAGAGGCATGGGCCTTATGGACGCTAGAGGTCCTACAGAAGCTTATCGTGATAGGGAAGTTCCTCAGGACATGACATTTGGCATTAGAACAAAGCCTAACCCATTCCCCAACCCATTACGTGGCCCAGGCAGATACGTAGCCCTTGGCCTTTCAGATGAAGATTTCCTCCTTCTTAGAGATAGAGCTCATATCGTTCCTGTTATGGTTAAAGCCCTTGCACTTAAAGAAGAAGAGGCTAACCAGATCTTCGACACAGTTTCTAACAGATTTGGCAGAGATAAAATATCTATCTCTGAATTTCACCAGGAGTTCAAGATGCAGCAGTCACAAAACTCCATCTAATTGCTTTATTTTTAAATTGATTTCTTTTTTTGATTTATTTATATTGATAAACGTATAATTTTTTTTGTAAAAACACCAATTTCGAATAGAAATATCTTTTTATTGGCACAACACAAGCTTAAGCTATAGCTGGAACTGTTTTCTCAGTAAAAAATTAAGATTTTGAATTATTTCATGTTTCTCATAGCATATTCACATAAAATTTGATCAAAATTTAGCTATCTTCGATTAGAAAAGATCAATATCACAAAATGACAATATGAAATTGAAGTTTTGATATTCCCGGGAAAGCTCTCAATTTCACTCAATTTTAACGTAAAGTTTTGCCGCGCAAAGTATTGAAATATGGATTTTAATCCATCTGCTTTCCTAGTTCTTCAATCACAAGATCAGAATGCTCTCGATAGTTTAATGAGCGAAATTGACGAGCTCCACCAAAATCCAAATTTCATTTTCGCTCTTATTCAATCATTAACATCTGATGTATGCAAAAACCTCTTTATTGCCAAGCAAATATTGATCCAAATCAAAAATTCAATCAGACTCAAATGGTATGAGAATGATTTTTGGCCAGACGAAGCTAAAAAAGTTATAATTGAAAACGCTTTCCAATTGCTCTTTGTTTTACCCAACGAAATCCGTAATTACATAACATACATCTTTGAAGAAATCGCTCCTCGCTATTATTCTTATACATGGTGGGTTGAATATTGCATCACTTTGTTCGACCAACATTCAGAATTGACAGAAGTTGCTTACCTAATGACCATTGTCAACTTTTGGTTCAAGTCATGCTCCGAAAGAATTGATTCATATGAATCAGTAATTGATGAGATTTCAATACAATTATTCCAAAGGATTTATGCTTACTTTGATACATCAATTGAAAACGCTTACAACAATTGCAACTATGCAATTTTACTTGATATCATTATCAAATCTCTGAGATATTCACTAAGTTTTTCATATTTAATCCCCGAGAGTGGAATTTTCGATAATATCATTCCAAAAGTTTGCTCATTGCTAACAATGTCTGATTCATCTAATGAATTTGTTACATTGAAAGTTTCAATCTTAAAATTATTAAATACTTGCCACTCAACATTAATTGGCAAGCAGAAGAAAAAGAAAGCGATATCAAAAGATCCTAGAAGAGTTGAATTCGCTGCTCACTTCAGAGAAGCACTTTCTCCGATTATTTCACAAACAATTCAAACAATTCTTCCAAATCCACATAATCCTGCTGTTCTCGGAAGAATTATTTATACAATATATCAGTTGATATTCTTTTCTATCGATACATCATTAATTAATGAGAGTTTGTTTAATTTGATTATTTCTGCCTCTCAAATTACCCCAGATTTACTTAAAGAGCTCGAATCCAACCCACAATTATTCATTGCTCAGGAAATGGATTACAACCTCATCAAGAAATCCATTCCTAGAAACGTAACTTTTGAAATTATTAACACATTATTAACAAAACACAACATTGAGGGTAATGTTATTATTCAATACATTTCTCCTGATATTGAAAATGATAATCCTGAAGTCATTGATGCTAAATTGTTCTTAATTGGAGCTTTAGATTATTGTTTCAAGCAAAAAGAGTTCGAAAAATACCAAAAAGATCAACTCAAAGCCGAGAAGCATCATAAAACTATCGGAGAATTTGAAGTCCCTAATGTTCTACCACCAGAAGTTGCTGAAATTTGTGAAGCAGTTATTGCTCATCCAAATTCTCCACTTTATTTGGTTCTTACAGCTCTCCATGTTTATGCAAAAGTTGTAAGACATGTTGATCCAGAACATGGCTGTGCTGTTGCATTAGAAGTTATGCAAACTGAAGTAGCTCAATCAAATCCACTTGTTGTTTTGTTCAGTTCCAAACTATTTAATACTTGTTATAAGAGAATTTCGGGATCTTTCGAATTCGACATAACTCCATTTGTTGAACTTGTTATCAATGCAGCAATGGAACTTCCTGCTCGTGGTTTATTCAAGTTCTTCTCCCTTTTGGTCGAAAAGAACCCTCAATCTGTTGTTCCATGCATTTCTGATGTTGTTCAAACTTTGACACCATTTTTAGTTGAAACAATTGGAAACGAAGACCAATCATGCGTTAATACAACAGCAGATTACATTGTTAGCACTCTTGTTGACATCATGGATTATATACAAGACAATACAGAGATTATGACATCTCTTCTTGAGTTGATTTATCCAACAATTGTCGAATTAGTTGCTTCGGCAAATCCAACATTTCCTCATGAAGATTTCATATTAATTCTATCATTCTTCTCATTAAATATTAAGAACCATGATAGAGTTTTCTATGAAGGATTTATTAATGTTTATAATGCCATGATTGCTCATGATGATTTCTCTCAAATTTTACTCAAAACAGCAACACCAAGATTTGTTTGGTATCTTTATCCTTTGATTGCTGATCAAAACGAATTCGCTGCTGACCAGGCATTTTCTACTGCTGCAACAGAGTCAGCAATGCTTCTTTATAACTTGTTCATACAACATAAGAAAGATGGAGGATTCACATGCGATCCATTACCATATATTTTATATTTGATGGCTGTTGTAACACAAGGATATGGAATTGTTGACTCATTTATTCAAGTTGCTTATGCTCAATTAGAAAAATTTGTGACAAAGTTCCAACAGAAGAAGAAGCCAAGAAGCAATTGCAACATGAGAATTATTGTTGCACTCGTTTATTTGCTTTCAGCTTCAAGTCAATACAACATTGAAGTATTGCAAGGAATAGCTCAAAACGAAACAATTTTGAACTTCTTCTTGAATGTAATTCCTCATCATGTTTTGACAACATACAAAGAAAGCAAAGCAGGAATAATCCTTCTTTTGAATTTATTAAAGCTCGGTGTTACTCCTGCTTTCCAGGCAGCTTGTTACATGGTTAACAGACTCTTGAAACTCAAAGAACGTGATAATTCTGATGACGAAGATGAAGAAAATGTCGATAATGAAGAAAACGATGATGATTCAGATTCATCGGATGACTCCGATGATTCCGATTCTGACGACAGTGACTCTGATTCAGATGACTCAGATGATTCCGATTCAAGTGATTCCGACTCTGATTCTGATGACGACAGTGACGATGATTCAGATTCCGATGAAGAGGAAGAGACAAAGGATGAATCTGACGATGATGATTATATTGTCAGTGATAGAATCATTTGTCCTTACCATCTTCCAATGGAATCAATCAATGAATTCGAAATTTTCAAGTCACTAGTCGAAGAAAATTCAGGTTTGATAGGATTGATATCAGAAGATGAAGCTAAAGTTCTTCATGATCATTTCTAATCCGATTATCTCGTTTGTTTGTTTATTTATTCAGAATAAAATATTTTTCATCTTTTCATTTGAAGTTTATTCCAATGAACATGCTCAGAATTTAAAAGGTGTTGCAAAGCCAATTGATTTCCGGTGTTATTTCACTTCAATCCCGATATTATTCGCCATTATGTTCGATATTTTCGATCAAACTCAGAGAGAATCTAGCAATAAAGATAAAAACAATTAGACATCGAGACAAAGGATGCGTTAATCTATGAATCAATTTGCAACTACAGCAGTTATTTTTCTATCGATTTTGAATAAAAATGTGAAATTTATATTAATGCAATGATATAGTTAATATTTATTTCAGAATTTTCGAAGCCATTGAATATTTATTTGTAACAAAGTTTTGAATACTTATTTAGATACATCTATATGTAATGTATAATAAAATTCTGCGAGATTGTTGGAGAAAATAATGAATCAATAAAAGTGACAATTTGATTTATGGGTTAATATTACTCCACTTCGTTTACTATTACAGTGTGAAAATCAAATTTGAATTGCCGTTATTTCAGAAATAACCTTTCAATTTTTTTGATTTTTGAATGAGTGTAAAATATATCTTTCAATACAGAAACGGATGAGGTCAGACCTTGTTAGCAATAGGGCTCCGAAACTCAGTTGGTTTTTCATAATATTTGGGTTCATTGGAATGATGATTTCATTTTCCATCCAATCGCTGGCTCGTTACCAGCTTATTCTCGAATATAAATTGTCAAACCCAAATTTCTTAACATTTTTACAACTTTCTTCATTTCTTTTCAGCTCAATTTACGTAGTATATCGTATATCGAAAAAGCAATTCGAGCTTTCTCGCTACTACAACGTAATTTTCATTTCCATTCTCGTCACTGTTGCGATGATCCTCACTAATTACTCTTCATTCAAGCTCACTGAGTCAACACAAATACTTTTCAGATCTCCGCGTTTGATTCCCATCATGATTTCCAACATTTTCATTTTCCAAAAATCCCATTCAATTCTTGTAGTTCTTGGCATCTGCTGCATGGTATGCGCTCTCGTTGCTTTTGCTATTGACGAGTTCTCAGAAGTAGCACATTTCGATATGAGAGGCATCATTGCGACAATGTTTTCGATATGCATTGACTCTTTTGCTTCAAATCTTGAGGAAAAGGTCCTCATGGAAGATGATGCAGGAATTTACCCCACGCTTTGCTTGGTATTCGGTCTTAGCAACATTTATATGATTATTTTCAATATTTTTAACGGCGACTTCCTGAACGGTCTCAGCATTATTCACAAATACCCAGAATGCATACCGTACGTCGCACTCTTTACCTTATCGGGACATTTTGGCTTCTATATCTTGTTCAATATCACAAAAAGATACGGATGCATCGCTGGCTGTGCCCTTGTTTCTATTGGAAAGCCAATTATGTCGTTCATCCGCCAGCCAAAATTCACCCACATGACATTTTTCTCTATCATTTTGTTATCTTTCGGAATTATGCTTAATGTTATCTCTGTTTCATTAGGAAAGTCCGTAGATTACGTTGAAACAAAGGATCAGGCTGCTGTAGCTCAATTCCCCTTGATTGCTGAAGAAGAATCCGCAGATAATGACGATGACGTTGATGATGGACCATTGACTTAAGTTTTATAATTTATTTTACTATGAATTCGTGTTTGTATTAAATTGTTATGTTTTTCTTGAATTATTTTACGATTTTATTTTTTGAACTTAAAAGATCTATTAAAAACACTCACCATCGTTATACATCAAAGTTTGCAAAGCTTTATGGTGTTCTGTAAGCATTTAAGTTGATTTTTAATATTTCTATTTTGACATTTAAGGAGTTAATTCCAAAGATATTTAAAAGTCCTTGAATATTATGTGGGGTTTTACTCACAAATTCCTGGAACTCTATCCTAAATGATCATCATCTCAAAAATGAAATTGAATTTCAAGCAGAATAACAAAGCTTGGGCTCACACATTGACAACCCATTTGAGGTATTTAAATTCTACATACAGATCAGGTCTAAATCTCATTCCTTCAGCAAAATTTTACCCTAAATCCATGTCAATTTTTTTGCTAAACGTCTTTTTTCTCGGATAAACTAATTCTGGTTGAATAATACAGTATTTGATATAACATGAATCTTTCATCAAAATTTAACTTCAAAGAATTTTTAAATGATTGGATCTGGATCGGCAATAGGAACTGTCGTTGGTGACGATAGTCACATTGTCGCTAAAATAGGCAAGGATATCGGGGCTAAATCATTATTTAACAAAAAGCTATTAATAGAGCTAATTATGAAAAGATATTCTTTTCCTGAAAATCATCGTCCTCTAATGTGGCGTTATATACTTCGTATTCCAATGAATGACGAACAATATACAACATTAGCTTCTCAACCAGTTCATCCAACAATACGTTTATTACCTAATTCATTACCAATTAGATTTTCTGCAGTTTCACACAGATTAATGCGTATACTTTCAGCTTTAGTTTACTGGCATCCTCCTCTTGCTGAATGTGACTGGCTTCCAGCTCTAGTTTATCCGTTTTTAGTCATTTTCGGACGTGATAAGCTTGCAACTTTCGAAGTAATCATGACAGTTATTACAAATTGGTGCAGCGAATGGCTTCATTTCATTCCAAACCCACCAATTACAATCTTATCAAGAATTGATAAGATAGCAAGAAGGCATGGTGGTGAGGCACCATTAGCACGTGCATGGCCAGCTCTCAGAAGCTTTTGTGGCGAAGTTGCTTCCACAGAAGTTGCTAAAATGATTTTAGATAATATTCTTTCATTCAAGCCAGTTTTCATCGAATATTTAATTGCATCATATGCATTACTCAAACCAGGAAGTATTATTGATGAATTCAATTACAAATTTGTCATCAATCGCGCAAGAAAGTTTTTCGAACAAGAAGCAGCTACTTCTCCAAATCAAAACAATTTCTCACCATTACCACATGGATATTATCCAATTCTTCCAATTGTCGAGAAGAGTCAGATGTGGCGTGAGAAAGAATTACAGAGAATCAGAAGTGAAGCTGAACAAACTCGTCAACAAGCAGCTCTTGTTAAAGAAATTGAACAAGAGTCAACTCGCATTGAAATGCAGCGCCAGTCTTGGATGGCTGAACGCCAATTCCTTCGAGATATCGAAGAAATTCAAATGGACGAATTCAGACGTCGCGAGAAGGAGCAATTAATGAGAGAGAACTTAACAGAAGAAAGACAGATTGCACAGAGATTAGAGAGAATGAAGGAAAGAAAGATAGAGGAAGAAAACGCTATCACAGAATGGCAAGATGAAATAAAGAAGGTTGAGGATGAAACAAAGCAGATTGTCGACATGAGAAGAGAAAATTGGGGAAGATGGTTGAACTTAAAGGAAGAATCAGCCAAAGTCGACAAGCAACAGGTTGACCAAGAACTCTACTTGTTGCAACAGAAAGAGAACTTGTTCGGCAATCAACTTGATGAGCACAAGAGAGTTATGGATGAAGCTGCACAAGAAGAAGCCAAGATCCTTGGTGATGCAGTCAGAAACAGTCAGAAACTTGAAGATGAGAAGAATGACTTAAGACAGTCATTAGAAAGAGCAAGACGTAACCAAGAAAAGTCTTTTTCATTCACAAGACAAAAATTATAAATGTTTTATTATTTATTTGTTAATTTTATTCATACCAATATCTTTTTTTGTATAATAAAAATTATTTATTAGAAATTAAATCCTTAATACTCCAAATTCCAAATTATAAGATGGAGATAAAATAGAGTTTGATTGAATCTTTTGGATTAGGTTCTTCCAAAAAACATTAAAAAGCAAATATATCTATATTTTAACTTGATTGTTCAACATAACAGACATTCTTCATAAGCTATTTATTCAGTTGAACCATAACACTAATGATAACGAGAACAACTTTCCTAATGGAACTTATGTTAATGTAGAAATGAATCACAAATCCAAAATTTGGATCAGATTTAACAAATCTAATTGAACCATTCTAAGTTTCGATATGATCAAATCTTATAAATTTAGCATGGTATTATGTTTTGATAGTAGTTCCAAATATTTGATCAGTTAATAATAGTATAAATACAAAACAATTTATTCATTTTCCTGATCTATATCATCAGACTCTATATAATCTTCTTCCATTAGATCTTCCTCCTCTTTGGGTTTAATCCAAAGTGGCGGCAAAGAATCAGAAGAAGGTTCCCTTTGTTTAGGAGGGATAACGGTAGGTGTTTGCGGTATTAACGGCGGTGGAGGCGGAGGGGGTGGTTTAGGTCGCATGATATTTGAGAATAAACCTAGAGCGCGCGAATGTGTTGCTGCGGTTCCTTCAACTTTTTGAAGTTGTTGGTCTTTGACGCGAGCAGTCTCTCTGAAGAATGATGTAATTCGTTTTTCTGGATTTGGTTTGATTTCTTTTTTTTCTTCTGGCGGCATTGGTATTAAATAATGCAAAAGTGTATTTTTTAACTTAACTCCAAGTGATAACCCAACCGGCGCCACAAATAAGTGATCACCATTCTGTATTTTATAAAATTGATATGAAAATGAACCGACTAATAACATATTATTAAAAAAAACGAATCGCATTTTGGGAAGAGTCTCTAAATGCTTATCAAGATTTTGGACGGCATCTGTTGAGTCTACAGTCACTTTATCCACCTGGTTCTTCCCATGATGGATGAAGAGAGTGAGAGACTCACTCATCCAAAAATTTTCTCCCCCTCAGATTTTTTCATTCTAAATTTTTTTCAAAAAGGCATGATCTTAAAAGTACAATAAATGGGCATCTATCTGTCGAAAAATTATCCTGCAAAAGTAATACATAAACTTGCTTCATGTTTGATATGATCAATGTTCATTTTGACCCAATTTTCAATAAATAGCTTCAAGAATTGAATAATGGGTTTATCATCAGTCTAAACTGCATATTTTACTTTAATGACGAATAGAATGCAATTGAATTCCAATTATGAATCAGAAAATGTATATTACATTAATACTGCGTTTTCTCATATAAAGCACATATTATCTTTTTGTATCAAATAATCTGAACAGTAATCGGATCTTTAAAACACTTTGATTTTTATCATTATTTATATTTATAGTGAAAACGCATAAATTCGCGACAAAATAAATATAATTGTTACGTAGTTGACAAAAATATCAATTTAAACATTCTCAAATGATAATAAATTTTGAACAATTTAAAATTCAATAGATGCGACAAAAGTATGCATTGTTAGTGAAGTAAACATAAAAGTAAAAACTCTGCTTAAGTTAGAATACGTAAGTTAAATTTTTAATATTGATCGTTATTAAAGGCGTCAAAAATTTTCTCACTGGGTTTTCGTCTATCAATCCCAGCTCATTATATACGCAACCAATCAAAAATCTGATATGGGAGTCCAAGGCTAACTTTTTGTTGTCTACCTAATAAAAGAGGAAGCAGCATTAGTGAGAATAATCGCAAATATTCAATTTAAATTATCTTTTTATTCTTAATTTAAAGTGACAAAAAGAATAAAAAACCTATTCTAAGGCATGTTGTTATGTAAATGAGACTAGACATCATATTTTATGTTATGAAAAAAAAATATTTAGAATTTTAGAACAAAATAAATAGAAAAAATAGCATAACTTATGGATGTGCGTATATTAAATTTAATAAATTAAGAGAAGTTTGTAACTAAAATTAAGTCTTATTCCAAAAGCAAATTTAATTGTATAATAAGTCTGGATCTAGAGTAAGCCTTAGTCTACAGCTATTCTGTGTCAAAAATAAGTCACGAACCATAGTAAGTTTCGGACTAGAGTATGTCTGTAATTCGAATCATTCATATTCTTCAATTATCCCGCCAAAAAAATTATCGTCTTTTTATCATACCATAGTTTTTATCAATCCCGTTCTACTAAAAAACCTTTATATTGGTGATTTCTTTGTTAAACCCGTATTTTTTCATGTGAATCTTATTGTATAAACTCTAAAAGTTCAATTTCCGGTCGAAAAAAACTTGAAAACAATTTGTATTCGACGAGTTAAAGAGCTCTATTTATTCTAAATTTTCCAAAAAAAATTAGATTTCGTTTTTTCGCTTCAAAAAATGTTGTTTTAAGTTTTAAAATTTGTAATTCAAATTTTTTTGGAAAGATTTACGATTTTTTAATACTGCGAATGAGTTTTATTTTACATACTCTATTGATAAATCATATTTTTGTCGAGATATAACTTTTTTTTAAAAAAATTATATGCAAAGAGTGTTATAGAATTCTAGAAGGTATAGTGCATAATTTGAAGTATACTATCAAATAAAGAAATTTTACAGTTTTTTAGTTTTATTTAGATGTACGTTATTTTAGATGGCTTCGTCGAAAACAAAGCATGTCTGTTAAGTTTATTCTTAACATGGTAAATAAAATGGCAACGAAGCCCAGTGTACTGCGTCTTATGCCGTAGTTTTTGTTATCTTCATACTCAAATACAACAAATACAAATAGATTTATTACGAAAAAACGTATAAAACAAATAATATATTTATTTCTAGACAAGTTGACGAACATGTAGCGCAACTGTATCGCTTTAGAGAACAGTTCTTCCAACACCTACTCATTCAGTGAAAGATTTAAGAAGAACTCTTACTCGACCTTAACTACCTACGCTTTGCTTGAACAATTCCCAACGAGGTTACTATAAGGTTGCAAGTCTTGTCAAAATGTAGTATGCAATACGTTGGGGAAAAATAGATATATACGAACAAACTACTACAGTCTAGCAACTAGTCTTTAAGTGTAATGTATTTTTGCTACAAAGAGCTCATAACGAAGTCAAATTTTGCAATTTGATGTCAAAACTAGCTAGTTGTTGAATCAAATAGCGTTGTGACTTTGTATACATCACGATCTTGTGGTATCAGAGCTGTACTGCTGCAGACTAATTCAACTAAACATGAGCAAGATTGGGATTTCTATTCTCTGGGGTGCGAGGCTCGTCCAAAGTTCAAGCAGCTACAGTGTTTTGGATCACCTAAAGAACTTTGGGAATTCAGTTATTACGTAAATTTCTCAAGATGAACTTGAGAGCAGCGCAGTTATAACGAAAGTCTCTGATGAAAGGCAATGATTTCTTTCATGAATGATCTAACGTTAGCTTGAAATCAGGAAAAGAGACTATTGATGACTTACTTTCCATCGATGGTGCACAACAGCAGGGAGGGGATTGGTGGGTTTGGGGAAATTCGCTGAGGCACTAGTGTCCGGATTGTTCGTCAAATAGGTTTCCTTTCCTATAAAGAAATGACACTTTTTTGGCGGCTTATTGACTCAGAAAAATTTGAGAGTTAACGAATAATTTTGGCGCCAAAAATAATTTCTCTTAATTTATTAAATTTAATATACGCACATCCATAAGTTATGCTATTTTTTCTATTTATTTTGTTCTAAAATTCTAAATATTTTTTTTTCATAACATAAAATATGATGTCTAGTCTCATTTACATAACAACATGCCTTAGAATAGGTTTTTTATTCTTTTTGTCACTTTAAATTAAGAATAAAAAGATAATTTAAATTGAATATTTGCGATTATTCTCACTAATGCTGCTTCCTCTTTTATTAGGTAGACAACAAAAAGTTAGCCTTGGACTCCCATATCAGATTTTTGATTGGTTGCGTATATAATGAGCTGGGATTGATAGACGAAAACCCAGTGAGAAAATTTTTGACGCCGTTATTAAAAATATAAAAATTTACAATAAAAGTGAAGAAATTTTATGTAGATTGCAAAAAGAAAGTTCCATTTGCATTGAAAGAATCATTTAGTAGTGAATATAGCATGGAAATGATCATATTTTTTTGAAGGCTCTACTTTTAAGAAGAAACAGACATATCTTCGATAGGATTACCCTTACTAGCTGCAATTTTATTGGACTTTTCAATAAGCTCCGTTGAATGTGATGGAGATCTTAGAGAACCATTTTCATCTGGTCTAGCTTCTGGGTTGTAAGGTTCCGGAAAATCAGTGTTAACAGTAAGCTGCTTGCCATCGTTACTTTGAGATTCATCGGCATCTACTTCTTTACACATTTTTCGGATTGTTCAAAAACTGATCATCGACCAATTCAAAATTCTGCGAATTAAATTTCAATATATTCTATACACAATGCTAGATAAAAATTTAAAATTTTACCGTCACATTCAAAATTTCTCGATCAAATTTTCAATAGTTTGCAATCACCAGAGGTAGGGCAACGATAGGTCAAAAAGGCTTCTCTGATAGATTTCCTTGCCTTTTGGATATGCTATAATATATAGCCTAGCATGATAGGATATGATGTCAAAAGTTAGAACATAACTTAGGATCTTGAGAAAAATGAAAAACAAAAATTACATAAAAAAAGAAAAAATTTATCTAATTTGTTTTTTTGGACCGAATAAGTAATTTTATTGAATTTCAATACGACACATAGATTTTATTATTAGTAATAAATATAATGGTTTACTATTAACAAGGAACCTAAACTAATGAAAATTTGATTTCAAATATTGTATATGATTATCATAGATTACCAAAATATATTGCTATTTATGAGGATATAATATTGATTATTAGTAAATCGTATAAATTTAATAAATATACCATGAATATTGAATGAATTTCTTGATTCATAGGGGTAAAACGCGCTTTTATATGATTTAGACAGAGAATTTATGAGATGTAAATAACACAATAAAGGTTTATATTGAATATTTTCTAAAAATAAATCGAAATTATAAAAAACAATACATTTATTCATTGAAACTACTTGGACAAATATGAAACAAGCATTCAGGCAATACTTTTGAGACTTCAACGCATCTGATAATTTTTATATAACTTCACCTCTTATGCTTAGAGTGGAGGTATTGAGATCGTATAAGTATAGATGAGCTCACATTCAGATATGATGTGTGAACTTCTGTTTTCACTGCAATTTTGAATCAGAATAAACTCAAAACAAGAATAAAATGATATACTCACTCTCTAAATGTGTTCGAGATTTAAAGTTGTATGAATAAAACGATTCATCTTTCGAAGCCTCCCATTTAATGAGAGACTTCGAAAGATGAATGTATTCATGTAGATGAAATACTATATATGACCATGTGTGATACTAAAGATATCAAAATGTTCATTTTTAAGTGCAATAGAAGGGTTATCTCTCGTAAAATCTCAATTTAAGGAAGATTTAGAAAGAACTCCTTTCCTAAGTAGATAGTGTGTGGTTTCTGTCTTTTGGTTGATCAGGAACTATGAAATTAAGTCGGACAGAAAGAAGTTCTTTCCAAAACAGACTCCAAATGAGTTGTTCGAAAAGAACTTCCTTCTGTATATGGATAATTGTAGTTACCGCACTGAAGTATGTGATTGTGATGATGGAGTTCTCGATAAATCTAAAATCGGATTAAGATTAATTGAAAACTCAAGTAATTCTTTGAAATCTTGTGTTGTCTGGCACTATAATAACCAAAGAATGAGAATATTATGTTGAATGATGAGTACGTGTGCTCGGCATTCGCCGAGCGAATTGAGTTTAACGTACTATGAAAAGTGACAAATTTGGGCTTTTTTTCCTAGGGTTATGATCTCTTCCTTTCTGCTCAATACGACAGAAATGAAAGAATGAATTTGTACTCCCTAATTGATTACTACAATCTGTATCTATCTTTAACATAGAATTAGCTGCATTGTGATTTATACTCCAGAATTATTCAATTTAAGATCAACCTCGTAAATTTTAATCATATTGCACCAATACTCCTACGTTGAGATAAGAACATGATTATACATACCAAAGCCCCATATTAAAAATCAAAATTTAGCACCTCCATTATGCAACCACATTATTCGTCGCAAATAAGTATATTTACGCATATTATGATGCATATTCACACAACTCGTATACATGAAAAGTTATTAAAATCAGACAAAATTATTGCAATAAGGGAAAAAAAACAACTTTATTATATATGTTAGTAATGAATTACAAATATTTCTACAAATAATGCTCAATACTTCATATAATCTTCGAATATTTCTTATTACAAGTTAATACATTTTGACTCGAACATGATAAACAAAAGCCGACACGCTGATTACTACATTTATGAAAATATAGTACGTTTCCATTCATCTGTTTACTTGTTTTTGTTGGAATAAAATCATTTTTTTTTCTTTCATGAAATAAGAATTTTGCTGCGAAAGCAATATCTCTAACAATAATTAATACATTACGTCAACTCTGGAATGAGTATTTATCAAATATGATATCAAAATTAAAAATTAGTTGTTTTTTATGAGTAAAAACGATGTAAATTGATTATTTGACTAATTATCAAATACTTTGATTTTCCAAATTTTTTTCGAAATTGATTTTTTCATGTGAAAATTCAAATTGTTTAATTTCATTTTTGAAATTTTGAATTTTTTTTGGAATTTTGAGTTGATCAATTCAGCAGAATTGATAATGCTATTGCTTTAGGGCATACCACAAGGTGATGAATAAAAGGTGAACATTAACAAATTATTTTAAATCACAAATATCATCCTCATCAACTTTAATTCTAAAAAGAACTGTACTGAATTATGAAAATGCATGATTTACATTATTAAAATCTTTGAATGAAAATAGTACAAGATAAGTTTTTATTCATTTTTAATTAGATTTAAACGAAAAACTACTCCATATTAAAATTTAAGTCGAGAAATCGTATTTTGTTCTTATTTGTCAGCATTTTGTAGACATTCTAATCTTGAATTAATTTGTTACATGATATTATTAACAAATTTAACTGAAAAAATATGTTAATATGGAATAAACCATGATTATATAAGCTATCAATGCTATATATACATATGTAAAAGATTCATATTAACTCAATTAACAAAAATGATAGATTTTCATAAAGGTTCAATCTAGGTTCGTTAGAAAATTTTGATTTTTATATAGAAGACATAGTTTCATATACATAATTAAATTTTCAAACAAATTTGATCATACCATTTATTAAGCAGGATAGTATATTAATTACTATCAGTATAAAAATATAAAAATGATTATATTTAATTATTGCATAATTTAGTCAAAGAGTTATAAGCCTCAAGTGATCGTTATCACCTTCAATGCACGTATACTTTATTGATTCATAGATATTTAATCTATGTTTGACATGTTGTTGTCGTCATTCGTTTTGTTCCCATTCTTCCTAAGTTAGAATTAGAGAATACACCATCCACATCATCTAATTTGGTCCTCAGCGATAGATTGGTTCATTTTGGAGGAGTCCCATCAGACAGTTTTCGAGCACCAAATATCAAATTTTAATGTATACAAATCTTTAGTGATTTATCTCTTTTATGATGAGTAAAAGGTTTCTGCTCATCAACATTTGATTTCCGACATATATGATTTCTAATTGCAATTATTTACTTTCTTTTTATAATCTAACTCTGTGACTCATACCATAAATTAATTATTGGAAAGTGTCAATATGTTTGGCACAACGCATGGCGGAAGATACCAAACCATGCAGGGAATATGATACGTTTAAGATCTCCGAACTTTTTTTCCAAAAATTTTCTATCGTTGCCCTACCTCTCAATCACCTTATTTTTTATTATTTATATTTGATCTACATGCAAAGGAACTAGTTTTTATCGTTTCAAATTACGGTAGCTATCTGAATAATTAATTTTGAATCTTTACATTTGTAAGAATAGCATATCGGACATAAAAAACAGCAAACGTTCACATGATAGTAACGATTGATCACAAGTAAGAGACCTTCTATATCTACTCCAACTCTTTTTCAGATTCGACCAGTGTCATAGTTAATAGTCTAATCATGAAATACATTGTAATGGTGCGTGTATTACAAGTGAAAGATTTGCATTGGATTTGAAATTACTTTTGACCTTTTTCAAATGCATATTCTTCGTACCTTTGCTTGTATCAGACAAAACTATATGAAAAAAGAAATACCACACTAAAAAAGTTATGCTTCCCTAATTAAAAAGCTAAATACTAATTGTAAACATACATATTATTCAGATTTTAGCAGTTTGATTTAAATCCATCTTTACTAGCACAAAACATATGTTTGCATTATCGACAATTACAATTTAAAAATAAAAAGTTATAATATATTACTATATTTTTAATAGCACATTTCTATTTAAAAGTTTCTAAGTTTTTGTCACTTTGGTCAACACTGTCGGTATTTTCGTTCCCTTTCTGTTCATTTTGTTCACGTTCTTGTTCTGCTTTAAGTTCAGAACGCATAACAATCTCCATGAAGACTTTCTCAAGTGGGGAACATGAGCATGTGAAGAATTTGATGCCGATGTCACTGTCTTTGCCTCGTTGAAGGATCTCGAAGATGTCTGAGATAGAGACACTCTCACTTGGAACGGAGATGATCATTGATGTCTTTCGTTCAATTGAAAGAACAGCGGATGGAATGTTCTTGAAGATGTATTCTTTAACTTTAGATGAAACATATGGAGAATCGTCATTCAACAACAAGTCAATCTTCCACACGGTGCCGAACTTGTTTGAGAGGTATTGTGGAGTACCAACAGTGAAGATGCAACCATTAACCATGATGGAGATGTTGTCACAAAGACTCTCTGCTTCATCAAGTAAGTGTGTGCACAACATGAATGTTCGTTCACCTTTGTATTGGTTGATCAACTCATGCATATGATGACGAGCAATTGGATCTAGTGAAGATGTTGGTTCATCAAGAAGAATTGTCTTATAATCTGACAAGAATGGGATTGATGCTGCACACTTCCTTCGGTTGCCACCGGACATGGATTTAACTTGTTTGTCAACATGTTCCGAATAATCCATAGTATCAACAATTCGGTTGATAAGTTCTTCTGATTCACGACCACTCTTGTTGAACAAGTAACAGAAGAATTTCATGTTCTGACGACCTGTTAATTGTTCTGTCAAATGGTCATCGAACTGTGGACAAACTGCAACATTAGTAATGTCACTTGTTTCAACATTTTGACCGTTGACTTCGATTGTTCCACTTGAGATAGGAACTTCTTTCAAAATCATCTTCATCAATGTTGTCTTGCCCGCACCATTAGAACCCAAAAAGCCAAAGATAGATTTGTCTTTAATGCCTAATGAGACTTGGTTGACTGCACAGATTGGATATCCTTTCGTATCATGGAATATCTTAGATACATTGAATATCCTGATCGCATAATCATTAGGATGCAATCTCACTTGTTCTTCCATTTGCTTCGATTCATCTGTTATATTCATTCCTGCTTTGATTGCAGCGAATTCGGCGAAATTAGCTCCAAATGATATTTTAGAGTATTTTCTACTGATTTTCTCACTTAAAAATTCAATAAGGAATAAAACAAATGGATAAACAGCAACAGAAATGAATAAAACAATCAAAACATAGTGATAATCTTTGAAGAAATCTAAATCTTTTGGAAGTAATACACTGTTGTCAACTGTTGATTGTGAAACTGCCTTGAATGCACCTAACCAATTTCCAAATGGACATAATAAAGTAATTAAACAATATATCTTTTTATAAATTGCTGGAACTACTGTATATTCTGTTGTTATTACTGTGATGACCAAAGATAGATTTGCAATAACGAAAATAACTGGTCCAACATATCCTTTCATAAGGAATGACCAGAAATATGTATAACATAAAGGTAATAATGAACAAAACCAATTAAGAAAGAATGTTCGAATATAATATGTCTTAAAAGATATCAGTCCAAATGAAATATACATAATATAAACAAATAATGAAAATATCGACATAAACAATGAATCAATAATAAACAAACCAAGCCAATATGCGAATTTTGATAATCCACATGATAACATGTAAGGACGAACAGGAGATTTAATATCTTGTATTGTTTTATGCAAGAAAACAGCGGCTATTAATATAAAAGAAACAGGAGCAAAATAAGGAATAAATATATCATATGAACCTTCATCGCTAGCAGAATAATAATCACCATGATCCGTTACTTTCTGTCTTATTTCTGCATCTCCTTGGACACTGAGTTCATCAAATACAAGGTCTAGTAATGCTCTTTCAAATAAACTTATTGATTTATATTGATAAGAAGAGTTAAAAAGATATCTGAGTTGAAAATCTCCTTTTGATCTTCCATCTTGTTTAGAAAAAGATGTTTTACCATACACTTGAAACGCTATTGGTATGTTTGATAACAATTTAGGATTAATAACCCTTTCAAATTGATAATCATTGAAATCTTCAAAAGTGTCAAAATCAACGTATTTCAGATCAACATCGAGCTTCCTCTTTAATAATGATGTAAACTTATCTGATAATCGCTTTTGGATTTCTTCACATTTGGAACAATTTTTGTTTGATATTCTTCCAAAAGTTAAATTATTCGTATTAAAGGTAAGGAAATCCATATTATAATCTTCAATCGATGTTGTTGTTTCTTGTGAAACTGCTTTGTTAATGCCAACAATAGAAGAAATTAATAATGAAAGGATAACAATGAACAGGAAAGAAAACTTTGAGTTCCAATATGTGAGTAACCTTCTATACATGATACCGATGAGCTGATTCTTGAACAATTTCGTATCCATCTTTCTGTAAATTCGAATGAATTCTTGAATCTGAAAGAAAAAACCGAAAATTTAGATTATGGCTCAAAATGCGGACGACTGAAATCATTTATTCATTAGCATTGATGACTATGCTACAATTATCATAGGAAATCTTATCCCGATAATTCCGAATTCTGAGGATTTGGATTAGCCATTCATTTTGAAAGCGGCGGTTAACTAATGACTTTTCTGATAAATGAATACATTGAATTTGAATGGGGTGGTTTTTAAATTATGATAATGATCCATTGTGTTCAATCTGTTTATCAGCATATGAGTAAACCAAGTATTTGTAAAGTATTGAAAATATTGAATTTTACTCAATTTTGATAACCAGTAAGATTAATGAAAAACTCTACCATTCATGAAGGCCTGCTTGAGAAAGGAGGCCAATCAATTAGTAAAGGATCTCCCCAATTCCGTATATATAAATCCTACCTTAAAATTCTCTTTGAAATACGTTTCCTTCGTGTTGGATTTTACTTATCAGTAGCTTTTAGTGCATTATTGATATTATTATGTCTTATGATTCCAACACCATCAGAAGCAATTGCAAAGAAAACAGAAAATGGTCATTACGAAATTTTCGATGGATGGTCATCTTCTTCTACTTTATGGGATTTTCAATCATATTATAGATTTTATCGAATTAACTCTTCATTTTATCTGAATTCTCCTTTGACACGTCAACTTGCAAATTACTCAAATACAAGTAAAATTTTCGATGACGAATCTGCATTCCAAGAATACTCCAAGACACCAAACACGTTCATGATAAGAGTTGATGAAAAGCCAGAATACAATTATAATATTTCATCAAAAATTGAAATAAGAAGAGGTGCTGGTTTTCAGGCTAACACTATAAAGGATTTGAGTGATTCAATATTAAAAGAACTCATAAATCTTTTATCCGATATCGATAGAAAATATTATCCAAATAAGATGAAAACATTCGAAAGAACACAGTTTACATATGTTTTTATTGAATGGCTTATTTGTTTTGGACTTACGATTGCGTTCATTATTCCTATGTTCGAAATAGCAGAAGCAAGAGAAACGAGACAGTTATTGTTATTGAAGATCTCAGGTGCATATGAAACAACAATTTTCTTAGCGAATTTGACTATTGATTCTTTTATAATTTTACTTAATTCTATTTTAGTTACAATTGTTTTACATCGTCAATCATGTGAAGGCTCTAATGGTTTCTTAATCTTCTGTTTTGTTTTACCATTAGTTATCTATTACTATGTTTTCTTTTTGAACGCAATTCCATTAGCCATTATGACAAAATACAAAGTAATTTTCACTGGAATCTTCATAATTTTAAGTCTTTTGCCAAATTTGAATTTCACTATGACTGGTGATGATTCTGACTTCTTAAAATATTCTCTTATTTTGATGATTCTTCCTCAATGGTTATCAACAATGTTTATTGATAACATCATGGTTTCGAAAGTATTTAATTATCCATTTACATTGAAGAATATTACATTGTTATTTAGATGGAAGAATTCATGGGTTATATTAGGAATCACATTTGGATTTATTTGTGCCTATTTGTTGTTGTATTGCTTTTTGAACATTATGATGCCAAGAAAGTCAGGATCTCCTCCAGTTGGTTTTTCAAACATTTTCTCATCTACAGCATGGAAACAGTTGTTCTCATTCAGGAGAAGTGATTTGATTGAAGTCGAAGGTGAGAATTTCATTAAAGTCTTAGGTATTGACAAAACATACAAAGGATCAACACCAGTCCATGCTCTCAAGAATGTTTCATTCTCAATCGATAAAGGTGATGTTACAGTTTTGATTGGTCCTAATGGTTCGGGCAAGAGCACACTTCTTAACTCAATGACAGGAAGTATCAGCAGTGACAAAGGCATCCTTCGAATCTATGGTCGTGAATGTGTTTCAGGCTTCAGCGCATTACAACAACACTTAGGCATCTGTTACCAAGAAAACATTTTGTTTGACCGTCTTAGTGTTTATCGACATCTTGAATTCTTCGCCACCATCCGTGGTGTTGATAAGTCAAAACTTAAAGAAGTCATTGACCACAGTTTGAGCAGCTTCCAGTTGGATGGTCTTGATAACATGAAAGCAGGCACATTGAGTGGTGGTCAGAAGCGAAAACTTTGTGTTGCTATTGCATTCATTGGCAATCCACTTTTAGTTATTTTGGATGAACCAACAGCTGGAATGGATGCAAGTGTCAGACAAGAGATCTGGAAAGCCATTTCAGGATACAACGTCACATCTATTGTCAGCACACACTCTATCGAAGAAGCAGGTATTCTTTCTAGCCGCATGTTTGTCATGCGAAATGGTGAATTAATCTTCGATGGCACACCAAATGAATTACGAAGCAAGTTCCACTGCGGCTACCGATTGACACCAATGTTCAACACAGAAGAAGACAAGAAATACAGAACAGAATTGCTTTCATGGATGAAGACAAAGATCGAAGATGTTGTCATCAGTCCAATCCATGATGACGACCTTCTTTTCCCAGTTTGTGACAAAGTCACAAATGCAATTGTTGAATTACAACATAAGAAAGAAGACTTCCACATGCGTTCATTCAACATCATTGTTGAACAACTTGAAAATGTTCTTTACCGTATGTATCCGATGATGAAAACTTATAATATAAAATCTAGTTTATTTTAAATTTATTTTCACAATTTTTAAATAATATACAGTTCAAAATCATAAATTTCACAATTATTGGTAGTTGCAATCACAGCATGAAATGTTGTAGCATAAACATTAGGAATAGAAGAAAGTGCGCTTATTGAGGTCATGCCTTCGTAAAATAAAATCTTATTGATAATAATAAATTCAATATTTTGTCTCCATACTCTTAGATTTTGCTTGTATTATATTGAACGGATCAAAACACTCAAATTATATATTCTCATATCATTGCGATTCGAAATTTGGGAAATTATGTTTTTGGAGCGAAAATTTTTATAAGCACAAGCATATATAACTTACCTATTCCTTTTCACAACTGGAAAACCCTTATAAACTGAATTACAAGTTTTCCAATTCCAGTAGTATATATGGACGGGTTGTGTGACTTTTTTGTAAACGTAAGAATTCATACGATATTGAACGATTTTGTATCATTTTTTTAACATATGAAGTAAAAAATGTATGATTCTTACGGTTTTTATTCTTACGTTTTTGAATAAATCAAGATTTAAAAAGGATTTCAAATCGTAAGACATTTACACTCAGCCCATACATAATGAAATAAATCATTAAAAAAATTAACATTGATTTTAAAATAATTTATTTTTCATCATTTATAAAAGAAGTTATATATAGATGATGTCAGATATTCCACGATTAATTAAACATTGTTTAAAAATGAATGGAATCAATGGAGTCATAATCAAAGACCTCATAAACGGGTAAAAATAAATTGAAACTAATGATTATTTGAATTTATGAAATCAATTATTTGATTCATTCTTTCTTCAATCTCTTCTATTCTTTTTGTTAAATCATCTATTTTCATTAATGAGGTGATTCTTGATTGAGGAATAGATTTCAAACTAACCACCCCCTTTATTTTTGAAATTTTGAATCCATCAACTTTAAACATTTTATTCAATTTACACGTTGTCAATTCTTCAAATAATTTTTTATTATTAGCATAATAGTCATTAAATTCTTCAACAGATGAAAAAATTTTTATTTCAGTAATTGGTTTAACAACGTTTATTTTTTGTTGAACATTAACACTTTCATTTATTTCTTCCTCCTTTGTTTCATTTATTTTTAAAATCGGTTTCATTTATCATTAAATAAAAATTAAAATATAAGTGATGAAAAATATTTTTTAATTAATATTAAATCAAAAATGGCGGCAGGATTCTTTAAAAAATTATGGGATGGAATTAAGAAAGCTGCGGGTTGGGTTTATAAAAAGATTATTAAACCCGTTGCAAACTTTATGGCACCAGTAGCGAAAACGGCAGGAACTATCATAGGTGGAGTATTAGGTACTAAAGCAGGTAATCCGGCGATGGGAGCACAAGCAGGTAACGCAATTGGTGGAATTGCTGAAGGAATACTTAATAAAATAGGAGGTAGATAGTGGAAAAATAAATTATTTTAAAATTATTTTTATCTTAGTATCGGTTGTAGTCTTTGATAAACTTTTTCTCCTTTATTTAAAATTTCTCTTATTGGGGCAGCTTTTGGCGTTATTGATTCAGCAACGTCACTAATTGCTTCTTTATTCTTAAATATCCAATTTGCTCCCTTCTTCAATGTTTCCCAAACTTTACCCGCTCCTCTTTTTACTCTATCCCACAGTTTCTTAAATATACCTGCAGCCATAGTTAATTTAATATTAATTAAAAAATTCATTTCCATCTTTTAATTTTGATTTTTTTATTTATTAATAAATGACGACTAACTATTTAGTGCCAAACACTAAACCAATTAATGGAAATGTATTTCATTCATTCGAAAAGATAAATGAAATATTCGCAAAGAATGACGGTAGAAGATATTATAGAGAACTTGAAAGTTCATGCTATGACTCTGATGCTCCATATTTTGATGATAAACAAACTCATTTAAGAATTACAAATCCAGCTCATGATGTGAACCAATTAGGTGACACATATATTAAACGCAAAGTTAAAGCAACTCTAGTTTCAAATAAAGCTTTCACATGTGATGTCGCTTTTAAATGCATACGTTTATTCGTTGGTTACAAATCATCAAATCAAAGCTTTAAACAATTAGAAGTAGAAACTGAAAGAGGTGATGCCGGTTATCTTCAGATGGATTGCGCCCGTGAATCTTTTGCATTTGCAACATATAAACCAAAATCAGAAAGGAAAGTTAAAAAGTTTGTTCATTCGTTATATAATAATGTTCAAAAATATGATAACTCAGTATGTGGTAAATATATTGACCCTTCAGAAGTTTTCAAGAGAGCAAATGAAGAAGTTGATGTCACTTTTGATATGATTATTCCGGTAAATGATTTGTTAGCATTTCAGGCGTTCGATGATTATCCTAAATCATTTGGTGATATCATTCTTAAATATTATGTTTTCAGGGATACTTTAGTATTTTGTCAGGTTGACCCGTTAAGAGTTGCTGATTTACAAAATTACGTTTATGAAAAGATAACTGATGAAAATTATGAAAAGATTATGAATCATGTTTATAAATATGATCGCAAATTCCAACAAATCGGACTTCCTGCCAAATTAATTACAGGCTTATCCGCTACATCTGCTGACGCAACAGTTGATGACGTTATTATTTCATGCACAAAGATGGAAGTTTTAGAGGAAAAATGTATTACACCAGGATACGGTTTAATTGAAGAATCAGTTAAAGCAATACCACGTTTATTTAGTAAGGAAGATCCATTCATGATTCCAGCTCAACATATTGACGTTCGTTCACTAAATGGAGGTTGCATCACTCCTGAAGGTATTAGCTCAGATTTCTCATACGCTCTTCATAATGTTACAGATGTTGTGTTAACATTTCCGAAGAATGCAATGCAAAGAACGGTTTTAGAAAATCCAATGCTTCGAGGTCTTCAGGTCACTATAGATTCCAGAAACTTCCCCGATCAAGCAATGACCACAGTGGGTGACATATTCTTTACACGTATGCTTCAAGCTTCTGATTTAGATGGAGTGAATGAATGCACGGAAGAATACGAGGACTCATTAACTAGACCACTGAATGATGATGATGGCACGCCATTAGCTAGAACATGGAAAGACCAAACTTCATTCTTATGCACTATTCCAGTTCAACGTGATGGAGCGGGTATATTCTTTGATGGATTAGAAACTTTCAACTCACAAGTTACAGTACAAGTGAAAGCTTATCCAATCATTCAGAGTGAAAATGACACTTACTGTTCAAAGGTGACAAATCCTCCTCAGGTTTGGTTTACTAGGACTACATATTGGACATGGACACCGGATGAAGGTTTGAAATATCATCCAACAGGTACACCACCACAGTATAGAAGTTCATATGATGAAATATTGATGAATAGAAATGTTTAAAATTATAAATTTATTTTTGATTAAATGAATTTAAATTCATCCACCCCTTATGAAGAATTAGCAGGAGTATATAATACATACGTAGATGATATGATTAATGAAGCATTGAGTGATAATAGAAATGCTCTATCTAAGGAAAAATTAATGAAAATTCCATATTCTGAATGTTACTTAAATTCAATCACTGCAGCAATTGGTAAACAAAATAAAGGTAAAACATTAACGATATTAAAACAAATTATCATTATTGCTAACACTTCCCCCCATTCACATGTGTTAATTTATATCAACCGTTCAGGTTCACCTTCAGATGATACATTTGAATCTTTAAAGCATTTAATCAAAATTCCAATTATTTATTTATCACAAGAAGAAGCAGAAGATTATTTAAAAAACTTTTTAATGTATAAAGAATTATATAATACAATCAAGAAGCAAGGATTAGAGAATAAAATTATTGATAAACAACGGGATGAATTATTTGAAACACTTTCTATTTCAAATTTTGATAGAGAATTTTTGCATTCACTCATTTTTCTAGATGATGCAGTGAAATCAAAACTAATAACAAATGAGAAATCATATTTTAATCAGTTATTAACTCAATGTCGACACATTCAGTGTTCATTCTTTATGGCTGTTCAATACTTCAAAGCATTAAGCACAAACATTAAATCAAATCTATCAACACTTTTCATTTTCAGTGGGTTTAGTCGTCAACAGTTGAACGTTATGCTTTATCAAGTGAATTTACCAATGAGCATTAATGAACTTTACACACAATATCAGCAATTAGGTGAACATGGAAAAATAATAGTTGATTTAAATAAAGGAAGTGTTAAATTTGATTAACTTTTTATAATTAATTTTTATTTTTTATTTATAATTAAACATGACAGAAATAGCAAATCTTCTACAAGTTCCATTAAAACAAGGGACAAACAAAAAGGGTGCATATAATAGAACTATGAAAGTTCCCGATGGAATGAAAGAATTAGTTCATATTGTTGCTGGTCTTCAAAAAGATGTTAAACAAATGAGAAACGTTTTAACATTACCAGAAGCTCAAGCATATGCCAAACGTCATGGTCCAAATTGGGAAGCACACGAAGCAGACATTACGGGTCCAAATGGAAAACCTGATGGTATAAATGAAGTTTTCGTTACTGATGGTCAAGGTAATATTAAAGTCATAAATGGTTATAAATTAGCTATATCTGATTATCCTAAACGTAAAGCATATAATGAACGTTATCCTATGCAATTTGATGAATATGGAAAAGCTGTTAAACAATACATTGGAGAAGGTGAAAATGGTCCAATTAATTCATACCGTCATAATCCATATTCTTATTTCAATGAAGAATTAAATGCTATTGAAGAGGGACCGAATGGATTACCACGATATTCTAACCAGTTTGATGGTCAATATGCAAATATTAGACCTGAAATTTCAGCTAAGAAATTCTTTAAAGTTGCTTTATTTGATCCAGTTTTCGCAAATGTTAAAGATGAACTTAAACAGCAATTCCAACCAATTATAGTAGCAAGAATTGCATCAGGTGCTTTATCTCAAGCATTCAAAGATTTAATTAAGAAACCATTATA